CCTCATTCACTATTTTATCTATATGGGTATCAAAAATTAGCTTTGAGTCAAAAATCACACCAAGGTCCCTAATGTTGTTAACTCTGGATATTGTGCACCCTGAGAGTTTGTAGTCATAAAGGACAGGACTCGGTTTGCGTGTGAAAGTGCATACGAAACATTTGGAAACATTTAGGTCCAGTTTGTTGACGACACAGTACTCCTGAAAGTTATCAAGATCCTTCTGCAGAGATATTGCATCCAATTCTGTCATTATCGGTCTCAGTATCTTCATATCATCTGCATAAAGTAGTATTTTAGAATTTTGAAAACATGCATCAATGTCATTCACAAAAATATTGAACAATAGGGGTCCCAGAAGGGACCCTTGAGGCACCCCGGAAGGGACACGGACAGATCTTGATGAGTATCCGTTAAGAACCACTATCTGACATCTACCCTCCACATAGGATACAAACCATCTGTACAAGTCACCTCTGATACCTATACAAGCCAGCTTATACAATAGCTGAAGATGATCTATTCGATCGAAGCATTTGCTGTAGTCGGTGTATATAACGTCCACCTGGGACCTCATTGACATATGTTCAGACAAATAATCACTACAGACAACAAGATTAGATGTAGTGGAACGGCCCTTAATGAATCCATGTTGTTGCTCCAAGAAGGAATGTTTAAGAGTAGAAGATAGCTGTGTATGTACTAGTTTTTCTAAAATTTTGGCAAATATACACAATTTGGATATTGGTCTGTAGTTTTCTATAACGTTTTTAGGTCCTTTTTTATGAACAGGCGTTATATACGCCGACTTCCATACAGTTGGCATTACTCCAGCAGCCATAGACTTCCGATATAGTATTGTCAACGGGACAGTCAAACTTTTAGCACATTTAGATATAAAGATTGGCGCAATGTTATCTGGCCCCGCCGACTTGTTTACATCCACGTGCTTAAGTAATCGAAATACCTGCTCTTCGACTATCTCAACGGAGCAGATATCTGCTGTTGAGGACTTATGGTGTGTGGAGGGTACACGGTCCGAGCCAGATGAAAGAGGTAATTCCTGAAAGTTAGAATAAAAAAAGTTGCTGAACATATTACAGATGTCCTCTCCATTGTTGGATTTAATTTCGCCATACTTAAATGTGGAGGGATAAGAATTAGTTTGCCGTTTGCTCTTAACATAAGTCCAAAATGACTTTGGATTCTTCAAAATTGCTGATTCAATATTTGTGATGTAATCAACATACATTTCCCTTTCCAAGTCTTTGGCCCTTTTACGCAACATAGTAAAGGACTGAAAATCACTTAGATTACCATATTTTTTATATTTGGAATGGTATTTTGATTTTTCTTTTAAGATCTTTACAAGGGGACTTTTGAACCAGGGGGGATACTTACTACGCGGCGTTATTATTTTAGTAGGGACATAATCTACATGTAGTTGTTTAATAGTATCATAGAAGAAGTCAACAGCGCTCTCAAGGGATCTGCAGTTCAACTCCATATTCCAATTAACTTTGTTCATTTCCTGATTTATGGCTATATAATCAGCTTGATGATATAAATTACTTACTCTAGGACGGCTGGGTAGCTGAGGTAGGTGAACAAAATCCGCAGAGACACACAAAGCCCTATGGTGTGGATCCTCTGACACCAATGGATCCGTACAGCAAGCAATACTAATATCGTGATTTGATAAAATTAAGTCCAGTATCCTATCATTACTGTTACTATATGGATTGTACTGCGACAAGTTGCAAGCATTTAAAATATCACAGAAGTTTGTCTGGATATGACCTTGTACGTTACCCGGAGACAGATAACTACAGCCCTTCCCAGGAATCCACTGAATGCCGGGCTGGTTAAAATCACCTAAAACTAAGAATTTGTCAGCCGCATGTTTCATATTGATGTCGAGTAAATTGCTAGAAAAGTTATTTAACTGAACCATAAGTGAATCTCCAAGAGGTTGGTTGCAAATGTAAACAACGCATAGATGTAATTTGAAGGAGGTAGGAGGTTTTTTATTATTAAGAGTTAAAGTTACCCACAAATCTTCCGCGGACGAGCGCCACTCACTTCGATCGTCAGCCGCAATTTCGCGTCGCACGGCAATTAGAACACCCCCTCCCATTGATTGATTTGTATGTACATAATTCCGATCTCTTCGCCACACAATATACCTATCATCAAATAATTCACAATCCTGTATACCCCCAATGAGCCACGTTTCTGTCAAGCAAATTATATCAAAGCAATTCACAGCCACTGATCGATAAAAACTAACCGTTTTCGTTCGCAGTCCCCGAACATTCTGATAATAAATGCTAAGAGGCACCATCGATGAGTATTAAAAGAATGTGAGTACATCTATGCAAAATAGTACGTACATCCAGCCCGCAGATAAAAAGAACTGATTGCATAAAAAAAAAAACTTTATGTTTCACATTACATTCATTATATTCACGGAAGAAAAAGTAGGTATAAGTAAATAAAATAGTAATGTTTCTGTTACTAATTGATAAAATTAAATTCTCATGCAAACGATTAACATCCCTCCCATCAATGTTGCAATGTTTATAATTGTAAAATAATAGGATATTACATTTTAAAAGAAGCGATAAGCGAACTGATGACTCAGAGCGGTACGCATAGAAAAAACATTTACCTGAGGCTACGGTTCTCAAACCCGTTCGGACGATACAACACAGAGCGCAAGTTGCACTATCATACTGACACAGATTATTCAAAAAAACTTCTCGAGATCATCTTCGTTTCTAATGTGGTGTTTCACAGATGTCGGGGATTTACGAATAAATATTTTACAACCTCGAACCCAGACGTATTGGAAACCCCTTTCTTTAGCCAGTGATTTTGTTTTATTCAATAATGCTTTATTCTACTTTGAAGAGAATAACCCGACCGGTAGTTGAAACTTGTAACAAAATGTAGGAGTAACCTCGCAGGTAGAAAATGGTAACAAATGTACTCAGGTATAACCTCGCAAGTACCTTTTAGTTGTTATACGAAGGTTTTGGAGGTATAGTGAAGGAAACAAAAGACAAGAGTGATTTGTATAAGGAGGTTTATTCGGACGTCCGTCGTGGGTATAAAAAACATAACTTATAAAATGTCATGTCAGATTTTCTTCAAAGGAGTGAAGGAAAATGTCGTGGGAAAACTATAACCAAGAACGTGGAAAAAAGGCAGACATATTTGCTGAAATACTGAAACGTTACTCAATTTTAATTTTTAAGTCGTGCTTAAATATCGTACCATCTCTGTCATTTCACAAAGAATTAGTGGTGACAGAACTATACTTAAGCGCGACTTAAAATTGAGTAGCGTTTCAGTATTCCGACAATATGTCACTTAGAAATAATTGAAGCACAAAAATGTCAGTGGTATTTTTGTGTGCGTGTGTAATAGGTTACTATCACCACGTTACCAGACTAAACAAAATGTCCTTCGTGTCAATGTATGTATGTTCTGCGTGCAACTCTATAGTAGCCAGGAGCTACTATAGATTTACAGGAGTTTCAAGAGCCTGTGCCCGGTTTTTTCAACATCTATGACTTCAATGTCTAAGTTTGACTTACTTATTTCGCCTTTAGAAAGCGTGGTAATGATGCCCCATATCATGCTCATTCCTTGTTAGTAGAACATCTCTTTACTCAGCTGTAGAACAGTTACTTGTTGACGACGATGATGAATACTTTATTCGACTAAAATACTACTAGAACTTCTCCATAAAATATAATTTCTTTTTTAATTATAAAACACTGGTTTGTTTCAACAAAACAATTTAGGGTACGGTTGAAATTAAAATAATTACAGCAGACATTACGTACATACTTACTGGAAATAAAATGAAATTCGCAGTACTTCGTAATTATTTTACGAATAAAAACGAATGATATGCAAAATTTGTAGGTAATGCACAATCTGTTCTAAAGTAGACATTAATTAATGAAATATTTTATAATCCATAAATCAATAAAAACATATTAATTTGTATTGCAAATTAAACAGCTGATGACAAGGTGGTAATTCGGTTTATTTAGCTTCGTATACGGTATAGAGATATGATAGGAAATACAGGCTTTATGCTCACAGTGTAAGAAAAAAAGTAGCCTAAAGGACATCGTACACAGTACGGCACGGACATGGCATGGCTTCGGCACTATGTTTTTTCGCTTTGGAAAGGATACAAAAAGGCTGTGAGCGCGCTATCGGCGCGTGGGCGGCGCGCATCAACTTTTTTTGTATTGACGTTATGAAATATGACATAAGATGTAATGTTCAAAAACTAACAAGTTACTTGATGGGTTGGAGCCGTTAAAGTATAATATGACCTAACAAAACTATCTCCTAACAAAACCAATGAAATCATAGACTTATGTATACCAAGAACAAATAATAAATAATGTAAATACAATATACTAGTTTATCTACTAGTCTCTATTAGTAATAGGCTGTGCGACATATCCGCGACCGCGTACGCTACTCATGAGGATGACGCGCTATTTTACTCGAAACTAGTAGAGTTTTGCTCAGTATATTTTTTTTTTATTTTTTAATAACGTTGCCCCACACTAGTATTTTCTCCTGTGTCGTGGGTGCATTGACAAACATACAAGTTCACATACACATGCAAACCAGACCCGTAACAACAACCTGTGGATCACACAAAGTTTGTTCCGTGCGGGAATCGAACCCGCCACAACCAATTGCCCAACCACCGCGCCAATCGTGCAGTCATTTACGTGAATGACTCGCAATTATTACTTAATTCAGCATGTCTCACGCTAGTTATATATAAAAACGAAATAAAGAATAACTTCAATTAAAATACTAACTTAAAAATAAAGGGCAAAAGAGGTTATAACGCAGAAAAGGTATCTAGATAACCTTTTCTGCGTTAACCTATAAGCAATATGAACAATTACAAAACAGAGGCATCTTTTAATGGCATATTTTAATTTCATTCATTGCAGTTGTGTACGGGAGTGAGTTACAAACATAGACCGGAGTGCAACTGAATTACAATTGACTATCTCTGAACGACCCAAATGTATGTGTTTTATGGGAAAAAGCTCTTACTTGAAGCATCATGGTGAGTGCCTGGTGAAAGATTTATTTTAGTCTCAATTTTAGCTTAGAAAGCCCTTTTGGCATGATTTGTAGATGTACTGATGCTAGTATTGTTTACAACTTTATTGTGAATTGATAAGGTTGGAATTTTATTGAGTTAAAAGATATGGGTAGGTTATTGTGCTTGTGTTTTTCTTAGGTGCGTAGTGTAGTCGTAGTGGCCAGTGTTTTGTAGTTTTTCGGTTTTAACCGGTATAGTGTGGTTGTCTGGTTTCTTTACAACTTTTTATTGATTGGTTGGTTTAGTGATACGAAGTTAATTGTCATAATATTCCCAGTTTCTTTTTAAATGAGATTCCATTAAACAGTTCTTCTGAAAGATAGACATGTATAGAGGGGCAAATCCAGAGAAGCATACAAATGTCTGTGCCTTTAACCAAACGCCACTTTAGCGCTTGTCTACAGAGAGAGTAGAAAACTAAATGTATGGGGATGATACTGACAAGTGTCAAAAATTACGTCAATTCCATATAATTTAGTTTTCTATTCTACATGTAGACAAGCGCTAAATGGCATTTGGCTACAGCTGCTGTTTTCATAGTGGGTATGTGGTATTTTCTACTCAAATTATGATTCGTTTGGTATAAAATGGCACTACCTAAATGCAAAGCAATAAACTTTTATACGTACAAATGAAACTGGAAATCTAAATAAACGAGATAGCATACAACTTTTAAAGTAACACATTCTAACCAATGGCCATCACATTAGTGCCCATAATTCAAGGAGTAGCATTAAAATTCTAAACCATTTCCCAGTTGCCTTCAGTGACCCATATATCTTCCATGGTAGTAGACTTGGTAGAAATCAGAAGTAATTTTTAAGACACGAGTAGGTAATATTTTGCAACATTCCCGGAGGAAATGGAAAATATGGCGACCGCAGCACGCCTCGATTTCCACAACAAATAACTATATTGAATCGTGGCGGCCGCATTGGTAAATGCTCTAATAATTTCACATGCGACTCTGAATTTTATGCTGCAGCTATAAGGCTGAAAGTTGGAATGTTACTGGCTGTGTGCATAACAAAATTTCTTGCTGGAGTAACAATTGGTCGCCTGTTGACGGAAATAAGGCATATGCACGTGGAATTTCAAATGAAAGTAGCTTATTTGGGAAAATGTACGGGAAATTATTCATACGGGATATCGAATATGCAGCTACATATTGATGAAATGTTTTAGCCATACACTAGATATATTATGAATGAGGTATAACAATGAATTATGCAATGATATTCACGTTGCTTTCTCTAAAGCATTTTAAACTGACAAACGCCGCGAGGACACCGGTGACCGCAACCTATTGTTCTTTAATTGTGTCTATAATGACTCAAAACTCAACGAGTTAAGTTTTAGTATGCCGATGTTCTGATTTTCATTTTTGAGACTGTTTGTTATATTTACACAATCATTTTGACTTGGTTATTGCTGTGTTTTATTTATCAATCATTTTTGTTCTTTTGTAATAAACATTGTCAATGTCAACAAAACAGAAACACGGCTAAAATCATTTCAAATAAACCTTCGTCATTTTACACTCACAGATAAAATAGAAAAGCAATTTTAAAAATTGGATAAATGTTATTACTCTGTGCAGGATTTCCTAAATGATACACCATAATTTTCTTTTTCTTTTTCTTTTTTCAATCTAATTGTAAGAATTATATTTGCATGCCAACAAGGCCGAATGTATAAGGTTACGTGACAACATATTGTACCATCTTATCCTATGTACCTACATTCTAGCAAATAAAGATATATTATTATTCCATATATTTATTTCAAAATTCTCTATAAAATACATTTTTAAATACTACTTATAAAGACAAAAATAATATTTAAAAATATAAAAAATAGGAGCCGACCAGTAGCGGGAGCATGGTCCAAGCTACCGGTGGTTAGGGCTCCAGAGACAGAAACCTCCTCACGATACGTGCCGTTTCAAGCAGAACTGCCTTCTGTATCAGGCCCTTGACCCAACTACCTAACGCTAGCCTCCTAAGGTGGTTGTCGAGGCTATTAGGGATTAACCCATTGGCCGATACGACTATCGGCACAATGATAGCCGAATCTACATTCCACATGTCGACAACCTCGTGAGCCAAATCAAGATATTTGATTTGTTTATCTTTTTCAGCTTTCACGAGGTTCTCATCATGAGGAATAGTGATATCGATTATCATCGTGCGGCGCACTTGTCGGTCTATCACCACTATATCAGGTTTGTTGGCTATAATAGTCCTGTCAGTGATGATAGACCGGTCCCAGTACAACGTGATATGGTCATTTTCCAGAACTGGGTCGGGCACATACTTGTAGTACGGTACCTCAGACTCAACAAGTCGATAGTGTAAAGCAAGTTGCTGATGGATAATCTTGGCTACTTGATTATGCCTATGCAAATATTCACTGTTAGCCAAACGACCACAACCAGAAATAATATGTCTAATGGATTCACCAGGACTATGACATGCCCGACATATGTCAACCGTCCCATCCTTAATTATATATTTCCGGTAGTTATTCGTAAGGATAACTTCGTCCATAATTGCACAGACAAATCCTTCAGTTTCTCCAAAGAGATTACTGAATCGTAGCCAAGACACGGACGCTAGAAAATCTACACTGGGCCCATGAAGGGCCCGGAAGAAGCGTCCGTGGAGCTCCTTGCTATGCCATACCTCCTTGCGATCATTGACGCTCAGTACCACAGGTTTGCGCCAGTTCTCTTTTGCCAAGGATAGCGGAGTGAATCCATTGTCCACCGCTGCTACTTCTCGATGCATACCCTCGTTGACTTTCAGGAAATATTCCCTGAGGCTGCACACCTCACGGTTGTGAAGGGTCTTAGCATTTAATAAGCCTCGACCACCACACTTCCGCGGGATGTACAACCTCATGACCGACGAACGAGGGTGATGCATGCGATTTGCAGTCAGCAGGGTCCGGACTCGCCTATCCAGGGTGTCAAGTTCAGTCTGAGTCCACTTGAGTATACCAAAAGAATACATTAGGACTGGCATGACCCAACCGTTAAAGGCTCGCACTTTGTTTCCGCCTGATAAGGAACTTTTCAGTACCTTATTCAGGCGGCCAAAGAAGCGCTCCTGTAACGATTGCTTCATGTCCGGTCCATTAATGCCTAATCCTTCTGACATACCCAGGTACTTGTATGTATCGTTTGCGGAGAGTGATCTCAGCTTTGTGAAATCTGAGAGTTCTAGTCCCTCAGATTCCACAATCCCTCCTCGCTTTACATGCATGACCGCACACTTGTCTACTCCAAACTCCATTCTGATGGAACTACTAAATTTTTCAGTTATATTCAGTAGTTCCATCAATTGTTTCTTGTTTGGAGCAAACAACTTGAGGTCATCCATGTAAAGTAAGTGGGATATAACTAGACCCCTTCTCCGCAAAGGATAGCCTAGCCCTGAATCCTCCAGTAGAGTACTTAGAGGATTCAAGGCCAAGCAGAACCATAGTGGGCTCAGGCTGTCACCCTGGAATATTCCTCGTACTATCCTTACAGGTTCTTCATTCCCTTGGATTTGTCTACATCCCGGATAGCAAAGCACGGTGCTCCACTGCCTCATACATGACTCCAAGAAGGCGCGTAAACTTGCATTATTATTATTATTATAAAAGATTTTTCTAAACATAATAGGAATGCATACTAAAGCGGACACGGTCGTATTGAAATATTTTTCTAGGAGCCGATGTCAGTTGAACCTACATTTTGCAATGCAGTGTACGTATCAAGCTATACAAACCACTTTATCATGGTCTTGCTTCATATGTTCTTTCTGTACATCAAACGGTCAGCTTATACTGGTTATGCATAGCCGTTGTGTACGAAAAAACAAAAAAATCAAACCTTCGATATTAACTGCCGAATTTTTTGAGGCTTGTTATTTCAGATTTTGCAAACGTATTTTAGACGAGGTATCGGAATCATTTTACTTGGTGCTTTAAAAATTGAAATCGATACGGTTTGTAAATATTTTTTTACGATCCTTTTTTATAACGCAAACATAGCTGTGATGGAATCCCAATCAGCTTTGATAGGCGTATACTTAATTGAACATCTATGATCTTCAGTGAGTATTACTGTTTTTTATTATAAATGGGTCTATATTTTATTAAGCCAATAATCATTATTACAACAGGAACCTTTCTAAGTCGTTAATAGTCAAGAAGTCCCTCAGTCAAACTCATTGATTGCTTCTTTATACTTCTTGAGAGAACTAATATTCAAAGCAACTACACTTTTGCTACCGGCAACGTTATTTACATCTCCATTATCTTCGCCTACATTGAAATCTTCCGAGAAATCTTTAAATCCCAGATAATCTCGCTCGTGTAAAAACCTTTTTGGTAACAAAGAGGTTCTTTTCAGTTATAATAAAAAAGAAAAATGTGCCGGGAGGGACTCTTCCTCAAAATAAGATCAATAAACGGTCCGGTGAAGTATTAAAATATTATTCGGCACGTCTGGAGGAAAATTGGGAGTTATAGTGGGCTTATGGTTTGCATATCGGTTTAACTTCATATGGCTTTTTTAGGCTCGAAGAGCAGAAGTAGGAACGGGGTCGTTTTTAGTCAGTAAGAGTCTGACACATCTCGGTTCACGCAAGGCGGGAGAAGACATTGTATGATTTTCTCCCCTCAAAAAAATACTTCATATGGATACAGTTTATGGTTGTAGTATTCATACAGCTGCAGGAATATAGGGATCTATGTAAGTACTTTGTGGTGAACAGAACAAAGTAAATACTATCGGTTTGTTAATCGGAATATTCGGTGTTGTGTGAACCGTACTCCAAACCTACATACATATATATATATATATATATATATATATATATAACATACATATCGGGCCAAATATATTTGTAATCCGCGTAGGACTTAATGGGTTGCCGGAGCTAAGGCTCGAAAGCAGGAATAGGAACTAGGTAGGTGGTTTTTAGTCAGTAAGAGTCTGACACAACCTCTCGCCTCACCCAGGCGGGAGAAGACATTCGATGATTTTCGGCCTCAGAAAAAAACATTCATAATATTGTTTTATCTCATATAAACCTGAAATTGATGTCAGTCACTAGTAGTTATAAAACAAACACATAGCAATTTAACCATTCCACTAATTGAACTTTTGTCCTTGCTATCATTAAATCAATGATTGGACTCCAATTTGAGATAACAGCGTACCAAAAAATACTAACTTAATGCTTATCTACATTTGAAATGTCTTCAGCATTTAAATATGTCATCATTGATGCATAAATGTGTAAACTAATAACATTTGACCAAGATCAAGAAAATACAAAGTCAAAATCAAAGCATTTATTTTAAACCATAATTTGGTACTTTTGAAACGTCAACAAATACAAAATAAATAATAGTCTGTCAGTCAGTCCGTTAGTGAAGCTAGGTGAAGCTAGGTGCTTATTTCAAAATGTAGATTCGAATGGAGAAGAATGAGCAAGAAACTCCATCCGTTACTTCCATTTATCATATTCATAAATAATAAGCGATAAATACAAATTGGCATACACATACAATGACGTCATGAGCACAATATATTTCTGATTTTCATTAGTAGACATATAATTGACTGGGTCCATGCAGACGGAAGCAATATCTCTAAATCGTTTAACATGGCGACTTGTTCCGAGGATAACCTTGTTATTCATCAAATTTGGAAGATCGATAGCAGTGCCTCATTCAAATGCTTTGGCTCCGAGCTGTTTCTGTGCTAATGGAGATCTGAATACATTATGCAGATACAAAAGTGGTTGTGGTAGAAAATCTTCTTCATAAAGTAAGAACTTTTTGAATTCTTTATAGACGTTACTTCAGATTTCTGATATAACATAATATTAATGTACGAGTCTCATGTAAGTCTTATATGTGACATCTGATAATTACCCCTCAATAACATAACATAACATCACGCCTTTTATCCCTGAAGGGGTAGGCAGAGATGCACATTACGGCACTTAATTAATGCCACTGTACCATGTAACACCCGCTTTTTACTATTTTATGTTATGTTTCCCATGTAATAGGGGGTGAGCCTATTGCCATATAACGGGCACAATTGACGATTCCGTGGTAACACTGAGATTTTTTTTAAAACCCAGTTATACTTTGCCCGGCTCGGGAATCGAAACCGAGATCCCTTGCCCGGCAGTCGCACTTACGACCACTCGACCAACGTAGCAGTCAATCACCCCTCAATTGGAACACATAATCTTCAGCCCGTTCGTTGTCTTTCACTATTATACATAGGCCTCTAGACACCACTAATTCGATCTTGAATTCTTCGTATCTAGCCATTTTTGGTTCGTGGTTATCATCACTCCATATCCGCTCATCATTGGACATACCAACAAATGAATACCACGTAGCTTAGCAATTACGTGGCATGTGATTAGTAATAGTCCCATCCCCAATTATAATAAAATTAATGACATAAAACTGGCTAAAACTAGGTGCGCTCTAATATTGTCTGCCCCTTCGGGGATGAGATGATGTCATGATACGCTAGTCGTTCTAATAGTGAAAAGCACCAGTAAAACTGGACAATTTTTTTCCTACCCTAAGTCTTATAGTTGTCGCGGAGAACCTAACGGGTAACCGGGGCGACGTGCAGGAGAAGGAACGGGGTGGTTTTTAGTCAGTAAGAGTCTGACACTCCCTCCCGCCTCACCCAGGCGGGAGCAGTCATTCGATGATTTTCCCCCCTTAAATAAAAAAAAGTCTTATAGTTAATATTGAAGCATTTTTTTTAAATTTTTTTTATGGGGGGAAAATCATCGGATGGCTGCTCAAAAAAGTAGTGGTTCTTTTCTTTGCTCCCAGGTGTAGTTTTTATATCATCAAACTGTTTTACTTCCATCTTTTATAGAAAAAGGCGAAAAACTTTCTAAGGAATAGCCGATACCAAATACTTGTTTCCTTGTTACTTTGGGGCTGTTCTCGTTGACGTAATTAATGGTAAATTAAAGAGATAGCTCGTCTGGAGGAAAATTGAGAGTAGTTTCCTTGTTTCACCGTCTTGTATCATGTTCTACTTCAATCAGGAATATTGATGGAGAATTGTTCGGTTTCAAAAGTTCCGTTTCATTATTTAGTTCTTGTATTTCTTTCAATTTTCTTATTACGTTCATTGGTGTTAGTAGAACTGTTTATTAATGATATCTATTTTTATTGCATTTTGTATTATGAATTTTTAGGAATCATTGAATTGTTATCTACGAGGTAAGCACCTCTGCTAAAAATAAGAGGCGTATTGTACTACTATGTTTACGTTCTTTATTTAAAACAATAATGCCTCGTTGGCCGAGTGATCGCAAGTGCGATTGCTGAGCAAAGTATCTCGGGTTCGATTACCGTGGCGAGCAAAGTATTACTGGGTTTTTAAATAAATCTTAGTAGTAGTCCGGTGTCTGCAATTGTGCCCGGTATATGGCAATATGCTCACCCTCTATTACATGGGGTTTGTAATATAAATAATGAAAAATGGGTGTTACATTGTATGGTAGCATTAAGTGCCATAATGTGCACCTATGACTACCTCCGGGAATAAAAGGCGTAATGTTATGTTATGTTAAAAATAATAACCACTATTATACAATAACCATTATTAACCTCATTTTGTTATAAATGTATAATGGAAAATCAAACCTATGAATATTTTAACAGCTTATAGTTAATAATGGACGGCCACTAAGCCAAGCTGTTACTACAATTACCTCCCTTTAATAATTAAAATGGAAAACATTACAATTAAAATAAATACAAGCAATAATATAATTTAAGCCAAGCATCACGGTTATTTGTGGTTTCCAACGAATTTCCATTAAAACCTTTCGCATCAGCTGTAATTCAGCCGTGTATTGTGGATTCGTTTAATTAATTCTTTGTCTATAATAGTGTAACGGCTGGTATTATTAAAGTCAGATATAATTACAAAAATTATACTAATTTAAAAGAGGTGCTGTTGTTTCTGAATTCAGGTAACTTTTGCTGCACTGGTGATTACACGTTTTATTGTTTTTTTTTATATTTGACTAGCTACTTCCGCGCGGTTTCACACGCTCTGCTCCGCTCCTATTGGTCGTAGCGTGATGTTTTATAGCCTATAGCTATACTCGATAAATGCGCTATCCAACACGAAAAGATTTATTCAAATCAGACTTGTAGTTACGGAGATTAGCGCGTTCAAACAAACAAACAAAAAACAAACTCTTCCGCTTTATTTAATAGTATAAGATTATGTAATAGTTTAAAATGGGCCGACGTGTGATCACTATCTCCCCTGGTAATAAGCGATGATACGGTCTACGATGGAACACGTCGAGTACCGTCATTATAGACACAATTATAGAACAATAGGTTGCGGTCACCGGTGACCGCTTGGTGTTTGACAGTTTAATAGCTCTATTGATGTAAAAAAAACTATTGAAGACATAGTGTGAGTGACATTAAACAATTTATTGAGACTTTCTTTTAAGTAACAAAAAAACAAATGGCTTTACATGAAACATAAACACATAACATAACTTCACGCCTGTCGTCCCCGAAGGGGTTTTTTTTAATTTTTTTTTTAACGTGGGAAAATCATCGAATGACTGCTCCCGCCTGGGTGAGGCGGGAGGGAGTGTCACACTCTTACTGACTAAAAACCACCCCGTTCCTTCTCCTGCACGTCGAGTCGGAGCCCCGAAGGGGTAGGCTGACGTGCACATTACGGCATTTAATGCCACTGTACAATGTAACACCCACTTTTTACGATTTATGTTAAGAGTCCCATGTAATCGGGGGTGAGCCTATTGCCATATACTAGGCACTATTCCAGCCTCCGTGCTACTACTGATGTTTTAAAAAACCCAGTAATACTTTGCCCGACCCAGGAATCGAACCCGAGACCCCTTGCCCGGCAGTCGCACTTGTGACCATTCGGCCAGTGAGGCAGAGCTTTTCACGAGTCAGCAAAATATAATTATAATTTACTATTCCGACGACTTGATGATGACAGATGTATCTAATTTGTCACTAACAAAGACTAATCATCTTTTGAACATACTATCTGACAGATACGACAGGTATAACAAGATATACCTATTTTCAACGTAATATCTAATTCTCGTACGCCTGAGAATTATTCACGTCAATTATTACGTGAGAATTTTAAGTGAGCTCCGGTACGGTTAAACACACGTGGAGGACGTGATTTTAATATATTTCCTTCAGGAAAATGTTAATTTTGTGAGATTTACTGTAGATTTACATATTGATATGGAGGAAAAATTATTGGAATTCTACGTCATACTATGTTCAAATTTAGTAATAGGTGGATGTTTAAGAGTAACTCGGTACCGTCTTAGGTCATAGGCGATAGTAACCGTCGGGGTAGTTTTACTGAGATAAAGCTCGCGTGCTCTGGTCTTTCTCATCGAAACCTACGTAGTAGGAGTAACGTCATATTTTTGTTTTTCAGTATCTTTCTCTTTTTTTCTTATGAGTTCTGAATATATACTAAACGATTGAAAAGAAAAAGACGGATAATGTTACTGTTTGCTTCCTTTTCATATATATTACTGCAATGTAAAAACATTTCAATTTCAAAGTTTGGTGTGTGCAATGCTACTATGTAAATATGCTAGTACTTTATAAAATGCTAGTAGTAAATGGTACCGATAGTTAAAAAAACATATTCATACGCTTCGCATCAAGCTTTCATGTCCTTAATGGACTGGAATTCTTTGCCAGTGTCTGTATTTCCTGAAGGGTATAACCTGGGTGTCTTCAATGAGTTGCTTAGGGAGGACAAGCTCCGCCACATCAAATAAAAGAAATAAGTTTATAGATACTAATTTGGTTTATGTGATTGTTGCAGAGTTTGATGGCGTTTATTAAGTTCGGGTATGCGCTTGTGGTGGTGACGCTGCTCCTCATGATATGGGCGTCACTGTCGAGAGCATTGGAAGTAAGTACTTCACAACCTTAAACTATTTTTCTCAAGTAGGATTTCAACTTTATGGCACAGCAATTGAGTGGAAAATCGGTAATAAGGGATCTTGTTGTGCTGGCCTGTACGAGAGCTAGCTAAATATTAATAAGACTTTCATAAAGCTATTAAAACTGAATTAAAGCCGCAGACGATCATAATAAATTCAGATTTAATTAGCCAAACGTGTATTAAAGAATTATTAAATCTTCATTACAAAATGGGTGAAAATATAATTCTGTTCTATGAACCAATTTGATTCCAAGTCAGTAGGAAATGCATGTAGTACATACATAACATCACGCCTTTTATCCCCGAAGGGGTAGGCAGAGGTGTACATTATGCCACTGTACAATGTAACACCCACTTTTCACTATTTGTGTTATGAGTCCCATGTAATAGGGGGTGAGCCTATTGCCATATACCGGGCACAATTCCAGACTCCGTGCTACTACTGGGAATTTTTTTTAAACCCAGTAATACTTTGCCCGACCCGGGAATCGAACCCGAGACCCCTTGCCCGGCAGTCACACTTGCGACCACTCGGACAATGAGGCAGACTCGAAATGCATGTAGTTGGATGGATAAATTCTATTCCATTTAAAATTAACGTTAAACTGCATAATGTATCGGTTATCCAGTGATTAAATAACAACCCTGGCATTTAGTAATCTCATTTATTTCAATAAGTGATTAACTGCAATAGAAACGCCACATTACTATATGCGGCTTTAGTAAAATAAACTTTAATGTCATTCAATCAGTGTTTATTTTCTAATATCACATTTATTCTCTTTGAATTATTAATATAGATAGCTAATTTTTTATTTAGCATCATTGACTAATGAACTTTACATCCAATCAAATAGCGTCTATTTTCTAAAACCACAATAATTTTCCTTAAATCAAAAGCAGCGATAGAAACTTTGACTTTATCCCCCAAAATCATAGTTCAAATATCTTGCTCAGGTTTCCGTAAACTTTGTTGAAGAAAACTAGTTGTTGTTTGAACACTAGATGGCTAGTAAACACTTGAGACGGAGGAGGATGCTTCTCGCGGTTTGCAACTCGGATTGGCTCTGCTTTGCATAATAACATTCGAGCTGCAAACTTTGGGGACTAATGTTGCATGTGTCAGATGTGTGTTGGATAAAGTTCCGCAAAATTGTTGGTTACATTTTTTTTGCAAATACATATAGAAGTATTGTGAATTAGAACCTTGTATTAGGTACGATATCTACATATTCTAAGGGGTTCCTACTCATGGACTATTCTTTACTATCTGGCAGTTCTCTTAACGTAATCCTTCCAACGTTTGAAGTAAACGTTTTGTATTTCTGGGGTTTTGTAACTAGGATGTTTCATTACGGTCTCCATTTTAGGATCATTACATTTATAACTTATTTCAAATAACTACATTTAATAACCAGAACCACTTATCTTATTACACACATACTGGCTATATCCTCAATCACTTCACCAACATACCAACTACCCAGGCCAATATTTGTCACCAACAGAATACGCCAAAGTTCTCCAGTTTGGGAAGCGCGGTAAAGTTGTTACAGTTACGCGTTTTGAAGCTGAAGGAGGTATTAACAAAGTGGTTTATTACACGTATAACTTAGTCGTATACCACAGGCTTTAAAGTTTGGTCGATTTAGGATATGAGCTGACTTTACTACCATATCCATCGATAATACCTTACATGATATGCAATCGGTCTCTAAAAGCCAATGTCTAGATGAAATTTTAGCTCTTATACCCAAAGTAAAATAGGTTTTATCATATCTACAGAGATTTTAAATTCAAATGTGACAGTCTACGTATTATAGTACCTTTCGATCGGTTTATCTCCTGGCCTTTTTCAACTAAATTGGAGTCGGCACTGAGTCTTAATCAGATTCGGCTGAATGTCTCCACTGTGAGGTAAAATGTGGTGCGACAGTTACCTACCCTATATTTAAAACCTTATTTTTTGTAAGATTTATTACATCAATAGTCTTGTATTTGTAAAATGGGATGAACTGAGAAGTTTCGATAGTGTATAATGAGTAAGGTTAATTTATAATTTACCTCTATAAATTCATTTATAGGTTTCTTAAGGGTCGGCAAGACGCATGCAATGCTCCAAGTGTTGCAGGCTTTCATAGGCCACGGTAACCGCTTACCATCAGGTAGGCCGTGGCTTTTTAGGCACCGTCGTGGTATAAAAAAAGTAAGAAAAAAATTTAAGTTGCTGGTGCAATTGCCTATATAAATCCTACCAACCACTATTGTTGTAACTGATCCACCTACTCCCAAGTTTTGAACTCCATTTTTCAAAATCGAAAATAACCTGTTAATTGACCCTTACTGTACTAATTACCCCGAGCAATCAGACCACCTTAAAGAGCCATCAGACCACCACAGATGGCCCCCCAATAGGGCTGATGCCGATACAGAGTCGCGGAGAACCTAACGGGTTACCGGGGCTCCGGGTCAAAGTGCAGGAGTAGGAACGGGGTGGTTTTTAGTCAGTAAGAGTTTCTTCTCTCGTCTTCCTCCCGCCTCACCTAGGCGGGAGTAGCCATTCGATGATTACCACCCCTTAAAAAAAACTGTACTAATCACAACTAAAGAAACTTGATACTTGTACGGTTGGACATGAGCTACATGTCCAACCAGTACAGCCTTTAACAGACTGCCAAGGCCGTCTTACGCACATAAAAAATGTACCAACAAAACGTAATATATGGTCCTCATCTCCAAACCCTATTTATAGAAGTACTCATCTTCCAAATCCTAACAAGAAGGGAAATTGTTAAAAAAACCCTACTACAGATAATAATATACGATCCTTTTAAACGAAAATGCGAAGGGTGCTCTCTCATATCGTTCGCTGTGTCGGTACAAGAGCTCAATGTGATCGGGGCCGGGCCATCGTATTTATGTAACGTAATTTCAATCCCGGTCTAGAAAATTTGATAAGGGAAAATCTACTTTAGCCATCTCAACCAGTCTGAGGACGATGCTTTATGAATATTATGTCGATAAGATCCAATCTCGGATATTGCGGCGACTTAACTGCGACAGTATTTTGTTGCTTTTGAATAGTTTTGCTGTTTTGTGTATGAAATGTTAATTCATGTCCGTATACTACTAACACTAACAAAATAAATTATGTTTGCTTTATGGAAGTGTATAATTGTTTATTATATTGATGGCAGTTTGTGTTAAGTCCAGCGGTTGGACGCTAGTTAACCATTTCAGGTTCAACCCTTCAACCCTGCTTGTATATTTAAAAAAATATTTAAGTAATATAGGTTGATATAGATTTTTTTCTTAGGCCATTATCTCATTTTTTTGTCATAAATTGACAAATAATAGAAATATATACCTATTTACACAGTTATATTATGACCTTTATGAGAACTTACACGGGACCAAATAACTTATAACCACGTACTTTTGGGACCCTTGAACTTGAACTTTAGCCCGGAGATTCTTGAATAACTTAGATAATGATTTCCAAAATCCCACCGGAAAGTCGTGGGCAATATTTTATTCATACGCCTGTAGATACTACAGCTATTATCTTCTGTTTCTCGAGCAAGTATGTAGCTTCAAGAACATTTTGCAATAGAATATCTAAGGGTCATATTTCATCAAATCTAGTTAGGCAGACACAATCAAATCATTTATATCAATTAGACATACACACACGCAACACAGACACTATTGAAACGTCCAAACAGAATTGTCCGTCAGTCATTTCGGAATAAACCTATTTTATTAAACGGTTTCTATAATCATAATACTCTTGAATGAAGGGCATGCGTGAAACTGCAATATAAGGATACTACAGAGCTGTAAAATAACATACCTAACATCACGCCTTTTTATCCCCGAAGAGGTCGCCAGAGGTGCCTATTATGACACTAAATGCTACTGTACAATGTAACACCCACTTTTCACTATTTTATGTTATGAGTTCCATGTCACAGAAGGTGAGCCTATTGCCATATACCGGGCGCAATTTCATACTACCATTAGAACTGTGTTAACTAATATGACCGATTGGAAATACCTATGCACAGACAAAGTTCACAAACACTCGATATGCGTTGCAACCCCTCTGTAGTTGAAGAGTCTACGTAAGCCGGCTTCGAGGCTTTTGATATCCCTCCCCTTTCTAATAATAGGCTGGAATTGAGAACAGGAAATTAGATACTCATTCTATACACGATACACCATTGTAGGAATGAATGACATAATGAAAGAAATGAATGGATGGTTCTTATTGGATTTTTTACGTAGTATTATGATTTTTTTTCTTATTTTTGTTTTTAAAAAATTGTTACCCTGAACCGTGATATAAGATTTTCTCCTGCGATGGTTGCGTCTACATACATACATCCAGACCTGGAACACAGAACGAACAGTTCCGTGCAGAAGTTGGAATTGTATCACGATGCGCTTGCAGCCAGTTAGTTGTCCACACACGTCTCTAACCCTGCAGTGTATTTATCTTTTAATGTAGTCTTCAGTAGGTCTGGACCATTATCACCCAGGATTCTTATCCACAAAAGCTCTACGCTAAGACCTAAGTCCGTCCACCATAAATGGGGCCCAGTACAGTTGATGCCGATACGGAGCCGTGGAGGGCCTAACGGGTTGCCGGGGCTCATCTCGAAGAACAGACGTAGGAACGGGTTGGTTTTTAGTCAGTAAGATTCTGACACTCCCTCTTGCCTTACCCAAAGCGGGAAAAGCCATTGGACGATTTTCCTTCCTCAAAAAAATGACCTAAGTCCGTGATATAAACAAATTTTATACAATTTTCGTTCCAACTTAGGATTCTCTTGGTATTATGTTTCGGATGCCAGCGTGGAAGTAAGTGGGCCATTATTTAACATAACATATAATATTCGGAGTATATTCAGATCTTTCAGAGAGAATATTTGACTAGAGTATAACCCATGAGAGCAGCGAAGGTTATAGGCATATAATAGCAGGATTACACTTAGAATATTAGGGTATTATTTTAGAGGATTTACTGAAACAGTTAAGCTGGTATTACCTATGTACATCACTACATAGTATAAAACAAAGTCGCTATCCGCCTTCTGTCTGTTCCTATGTATACTTAGATCTTTAAAACTACGCAACGGATTTTGATGCAGTTTTTTAAATAGATAGTAAATTCTTAAGGAAAGTTTATATTTATAATACATGCATATTGCACCCGTATGAAGGCGGGGCGAATCGCTAGTGATCTTTAATAATTTAATAGAACATATCGTAATGGTTTGTACTCTATTTAGATATTCTGGATGAATAGAAGAATGCTTTTCAACCATTTCATGGATGGAAAAGTAGAGGATGACTAAATAGAAGATGGATAGATTATGTGAAAGTGAGAACGGAGTTTGGAATAGGAACCAAAAGAAGGAGAAGACGTACTGTTGACTGAAAGTAGCTTCGGGTATGGGCAAAAATAAGATAAAGGGTCAATATCCTCTCAATACTCTTTAAACAATTACAAAACTGATACAAATCTTTTTATGACGAAATTAATATATTTTACTTTTACTTACGTCACTCAGCCAGGTAAAAGGTCTTTGTCAAAACGATAATGGTGTCTAAAACATTATCAGTACTAGTCTAGAGGTCCCAAATGTCCTTTGTGTGAGTAAAAGCCGGTCAGACACTGACTAACATTTAACTCAATCAATGTCTGGAGTGTCACAGGTCAACGACATTAATCTAACTTGCGTGTGAGTTACGCTTAAATACTCGAACTACTTCACACATTAACAACTGGCTATTAGACTATGTAAGAGTGAATTTGTCACTAGGAGACAATCAGCTATTCTTCATCAATTCTCGTTTATGTTAATAGTATGAAATACTCTTATGTGCATATAGAATATATAGAATTTATCGTCACTAAACTTACACATAACTTTATCAAGACACGATGTACCTTTAAGTATGTAAGCAGTATATAACATATGCTGAACTTGGCTGACGCGCGGCCGCGCGTCCCGATTATATGGATTTTATTCTATTCTATAGAGAGTGACTGCCTCGTTGGCCGAGTGGTCACGAGTGTGACTGCCGGGCAAAGGGTCTCGGGTTCGATTTCCGGATCGGGCAAAGTATTACTGGGTTTTAAAAAAATTCTCAGTGGCAGCACAGAGTCTGGAATTGTGCTCGATACATGGCAATAGGCTCACCCCCTATTACATGGGACTCATAACATAAATAAATAAACATAGTGAAAAGTGGGTGTTACATTGTACAGTGGCATAATGTGCAATGCGTAGTGGCATAATGCAAATTGGATAAATGGCCTAATGTTATGTTATGTGTTCTAAAGAGAATCTTCATCATCATCGTATTAGCCACGACGTCCACTGCTGACCATAATATGCCTCCCCCAATTCGGAACGAGCGCCTAGCTTTACTGACAAATAAACGGACGGACAATACAATTTTTGAGGTTTCAAAAGTGCCTAATTAAGGATTAATTGAAATAAATGCTTGGATTATTGACTTTTTTTATTGTTTAACTCGTTGAGTACCGTCATTATAGACACAATATAGAACAATAGGTTGCGATCACCGGTGACCGCTTGGTGTTTGACAGTTTAAAAAGACATCTCATTTTATTGACCCCCAAATTCATCAGTGGTGATAACGAAATAATACTATTTTTAAACTTCTTCGTATTATGTTATCAATACGCATAACACAAGCCATTAACACGTTTTAAATATCGAACCCTAGCACAGAATACTTGGAGACGGCTTTACGTAATTGTCAAACATTAGAAGGGCGATATAATTTAATTGCCGCAGCGTCTCGGTGCCAAACGATCAGCGCTGGACATAAACCGAGTAATCATTACAACTTCTATAGCAAAATGTTAAACGAGTAATTGGATTAATGGAGGCATACAAGAAAATGTGATAAATATGGCACTGGTTACAACCATAGTAAAACATGATAAGTAATCTTTTTAGTTATACGTCATTATCCTAACTAAGGGAAATAGCAGAGACAGCAGCATTATTACATAACATAACATCACGCCTTTATCTTTTTATCCACACACCAATGCCACTGTACAATGTAACACCCACTTTTCACTATTTATGTTATGAGTCCCATGTAAGTGAGCCTATTGCTATATACTGAGCACATATCCAGACTCCGTGTTACTACTGAGATTTTTGAAAACACAATAATACTTTGCCCGACCCAGGAATTGAACCCAAGACCTCTTGCCTGGCAGTCGCACTTGCGACCACTCGGCCAACGAGGCAGTCAGGCAGCATAATAAATAGTATAATATTTACTTAGAATAGTTAGTTTAGAAAAAGTACTTCGACTAATAACTTAAATATTTTAGGTAAAACAGAATTCAATTACAGATTCAAAGAAACGGCACTAAACAGCTAAAAAAGCATATACATATTATACGGTCGAATTGAGGACCTCCTCCTTTTTTTGAAGTCCGTTAAATAATATTACTAATTACCGGAGATCAAACAGTTTACTTTCAAATTAAGTCCAATTTAGTGACTAAAACGATGAAGAACATTTCTAACAAAGAATTAAGATGATGACAGGGTATGGAAATTAAAAATATAATTAGTCCGTAAGTAAGGTAAAGAAAAAATATTAGACACTTTTTTTTTTCATTTTGTCGTATACCTAATAAAACAATACTTAGATAAAACGAATCAAAATTTAGGAGTGGGGGCTAAAACGTCATTTCTGCGTATAAAATGTACATAGAAGTGACGTCACGCGACATTTCAAATCAGTATATCGTCGAAAGTATTCGTTTCTGTAAGAAAATAAAGAATACTTGTCTAATGATTTAAAATAATCTACCAGACGGACATTAAAATAAAAATTAGGCAACTACTCTATTACTCACGTCATTAAATTGAATATATACTCCCGTAATTTTCCTTGATAAGATAGGATAAGCTGTTTTTCTTAACAAGGATCTAGAGAATATCACATATTAAGCAAAATTACGATATTCAGATCTGGTAGCGTATTATGATGTATTAAAGCCGAGTGGTTTCGCTGAGGGAACGAGATCTCGCTAGACGACTTGTATAGCTCTGTTTCTTTCCCTCAATGGAAGCATTCTGACTTTAGGACGTCATAATAACCCCGCTTGCCTTTCTTAGTCTGTATGACCTTAATTAGATTCATTATTGGATGTTAAGGATACACAGTATGTAACGACTATAAGTATAAGAAAGATATTCTTATACTTGTATATAGCTTATAATTATAATAATTACAGACTTATCATTTACAACGTTAATGTTAACTGCATAAGCAATATTATAATTTGACACAAATGTCTTATCTCTTTACATTTATGCTTATACATATTACATTATTACATTTATTACATTTAAGCTACCCACATTCTTACAGCAAAATAACTTGATTAAAAAGCAGGACTCCCAAAAATTATGTAACGTACTCAGTGGATCCTTCCAAATTATGAACGAAACCGATTTGCTAAACAGTACATATGTTATGTTACCCTAAATTGATGCGAAAACTCTGGGAGGAGGGTTTTTAGGGATCCTCACGCCCCTAAACCCGCTATTACTTACCGGATACCGCAATATGTATAAAAACCAAAACAAGGAACGGATCGTATATCCATTCTGTTGGCTTTATATGGGTTGTTTACTTTTTGCGACTGTTTACCAACTGGATCAGTATAAAATAGTGCTGTTTGTACATAATTTTCTTAATTACTTAGGAGACCTCAACGTTTGCTTAATGAATGCTCGAACTATCTTTGGCCATTTTGAAGATGTAACAGATCAAAAGATTCTCAAAAAACTATTTCAATAAACTGCTAAGTCATTCCCCAAAGAGAGAACCCATATTTAACACACGTACTAGTATACATTTCATGCCAAATTGATTTTTCTTTTACTATATACGGAAAGGATTACCGTATTGAACCGCAAATCAGAAATTCCACTCACGAACCACGCAACAGGCAGGCTTAACTCCAGCAAATTGACTTCAAACTCCAGTTCATACAAAATCAACCAACAAAGCAGCAATCTTTAAACAATAACAAATACTCCTGATTGATGACTAGACAAGTTTCTTTCATAAAGTGAATCTCTTGTACCGGTTATCATCGTTCGCTTTTAATCCTTAAACAACGTCTTCTACAAATTATGGATCGTTCATCTCAAGTTTAAGATATAGCAGCCATTTAACTTGGCTCTTTAAAAGATGGATGGCAATCTGTTTTCTTTTCAGATAGCCTTAATGGAATTGGGTTTTATTTAAAGTTTACCATTGTCTCGGAATCAGTTTTAATATCTTGTCCTAATTTATTGTTATCGTCCTGTCTCAGTTTGAATTTTGTTTGAGTGCTTGTAATTAGTTTGGTACAAGTACTAGTCTAGATCTATCAATCTAAATTGTAAGAAATCTCATTTAGTTTTCTTTACTGCCTACATTTTTGTGAATTTAGTTTCGGCGTGTTTCCTTGTTGGGCTTGTTCTTGCCCTTAACTTTAACTTCTACAAAAGTAGTTAAAACTATAGGTACTTATTAGCATACTCACCTCTAATTTTGACATTCTTCTCTTCCAGCTCCACATAGACTCCAAGCACCCACCATGCTTGTTCCAAGCATTATGCACATGTTCGAAACCAGCTGGCGACTTGGGCATCGTGAACTGCAACCACGTCCCAATTTTGAAGGTGCCAGCAACGATCAACAGTTCCAAGGTCTTCATGCTACAGTTGACTGCGAATCAGATCAGAGATCTGGAACCACAGTTCTTCCAAGCAACAGGTTAGTTCTGATCTTGATAAAGATAGTTTCAATTATTTATTGTGTTTTAAACTGTCAAATACCAAGCGGTCACCGGTGACCGCAACCTATTGTTCTATAATTGTGTCTGCAAAACCGGTACTCGACGAGTTAATTGTAGTGGTTTAATTATGCGACATTTTTTCCTTTAATGTAGTAGAACAGTCTACAAAAATTGCTGAATTTTCTATCATTATCTTAAAGTATGAGAGTAGTATAAATAAAATGTGATGGAACATAACTGAGGATCAAAGATCTAAAATTACTTTTACAATCTTAAAGAACAAACAATAGATTTACTTGAAAGGGTAACAATATTCTTACGAGTTGTATTATAATAGGCTAACAATATGAAACATAGTTGAACTTTTGTTTAACGTTGAACTGCGTTGAACTATGGAATAAAATTGCTTTAGTAACCTTTATGCTTTTTCTTCTAAATTATGTATTCCAACCGAATTAGGAAATACGACCAATGCTCTGGATACGCAGTGATAGTTCAAAGTTAAAGGTTTTGAACTACTCTCAATCACTAAAGGTTTTTGGTCGAGAAGAACATTGACCGCAACTGACCGCAATCATAATTAGAGTTGTATTTGGAGAAGGTTACATTTAGGCATCAACCTTTGATATTACGGATGTTTCAAAGCTAATTCATTTAGACCTTTCTTTCTCTTTACCGCAGTCAAAAAGAAATTAACAAAATCTGCAAAATCACAAGATCACAACGAAACATGTACATTTGATATTACAGACATAAATTCTGTTGTCTGACTGAGTAAGCGCTGCTTGCGACTGACACGGTAAATATAATAAGGGAAGGTCTGTCGTCTAATCCTCCACTCAGCGTTTCATACTAGTAAATAAGTAAACCCGTTGAATGTGTCACGTTGAGCCTGATACGCTTAAATCTGCCTATTGTGATGAGCAAAAGTAAGCAGATTATGACTTGTATAATGAAGACTTTAAAGTTGACAATTTTAGTTAATAACGATGTGGTGTTTGCTTTAACAAGATAAATTTTCTTTTAAGACTCTTCAAATGAGAGAAATTTAATTTTGAAATTTTCAATGGTTCAATCCTTGGTTACAAAAAATCTAATTTTAACCGTAGATTACTGTGGCAGTCGTTTTTTATTAATTGCTCACATACAGACTCGACTCGACTATCGTTAAAACTCGTAGTCCTCCCAACTTAGTTGGAAAAAGGCCAGAAAACAATTGGTCATGCATATACCCATTTTTGTTCATATTATTCATCTAAATTCAAAATCCGATTTGAAATTACCTTCAAAAGGTAGAAGCAGCAATAATTAACAAAATATCCTTTGAAGCTCACGTAAAGACTTAATTAACACGCCGAAATATCTTTAGCTAGTATCGAAGCCCATTATTCTCACATAATCTAACATAGCCGATTAATTCCAGGCTTGTACCGGCTTGCAATTAACGAGAACCCGCTGGAGAATATCCATGAAGAAGCGTTCTATGGCCTCGACAATACACTTTGGGAATTGGAACTACGACACGACAAATTGACGTCTGTACCCAGCAGAGCCCTGAGATACTTGCAGAAACTGAGGCTACTGGATCTGACAGGTGATTTATGTTTAGAGTTTTCACTTCAATTTAAGTTTTAGTGCAAATTTTGGACTACAACTGGCGATGCTGGATAAAAATTTCAATGAACAAATTGCTGTTCAAGAATTGGAAGTGCAGCGATATTTTAAACGGCTTACTGTTAGGTGAAAAATTGAAAAATTGTAGCATTGAATTCGGCAAATGTGTTTAATATTTCGTCTATTGAAGTAGGTAATACTTGGAGAAGATTTATTCGAAATGAACTGAGTGAAATTGAATCACTTAGAAAGAGATTCAAGAAAGCTTTTTATAGGATTACCTTCAGAAGTAGACACGTGATTTATTATTAAGTACTTAACCTTCGTATGAGTTCAAAGACCTATGGTATATTATTCTTATCGTTATTGTAAAGATCCTAAATTCAATTCAACGAAACCTATCGGTTTATGATGATGGGGGTGAATGAACGGGTTCTTTTATTCGCTGTATAATCGTTATTTTTTAAAAACTTTCATTCAATTTTGTATCAAAAAATTCTAGTACTCTTAATAATTTCGAATAATTATTAGCAGATTTCACAGTTTATACGGGTTATCGCACCTATAATTTCGTGTTTAGATGTTAGCTTTGCCGTGGTAGACTCAAAAACTTTTTTGTTCCTCAACAAGGCTAATTAGGCCTGTTTCACGTTTTCAGGAAACGAGATAACAGACATATCCGGAGATAACTGGCGAGGGTTGGAACACACATTAACGACTTTGATACTGGCTGAGAATTCGATAGCGAACCTCCCTCTGGACGCTTTTTCCAGTCTACCGATACTGGAAACCCTGGACCTTCACGGAAATCATCTGTCTGTTATCGATAGTGGTGTGTTTCGAGATGGGATGAGCAGATTGAATAGGGTAAGTTAGCATTAATTTAGGTTAAAAATAACCATAGAGATGGTTAAGAATGTTCTTCATAGTGGGAAAGGGACTAGTGTTTAGTTTAGTTTCTTTCAAGATTTCTTATTTCATTTATTTACAATTTCTTTTTTGTTTCTGAAGAAGTATCTTAATTTTCGTTTTTTTTTCATTGCCATATTCACATACGCTTGGGGGTTCTAAAAGACTTCATAATTCTGTATTTCAGTTGCTTCTTGGTGACAATCAACTGGCTTACATACCTTACGAAGAGTTGGCGCCGTTGCGTCAATTGAGATTCTTGGATCTTTCAAATAATCTGATCAAGCAAGTTCCACCTGCACACGATCTGAATGGAATCAAATTGTCCTTGGACTCTTTGAAGTAAGTTGTAGTATTATGGTTTTACTTGTCTGACTTGATGTCAAGGATATGTGATTAACTACTAGTAGTAACTGCCATCGAGTTACCAATTTCTTGGTTTTTATTTTTCATCAGCATAAATAACATCAATATGTTCGTTTCCTTGAATTAAAGAACTATGTCTATATTATCTATCTTTCACCATTTCCAGGTTGGACAACAATCTCATCAAGATATTGTATCCTGGATCCTTCCAGTACTTCAACATTTTGAACTCAACTTCTTTGGACGGCAATGCGATTTATGCTTTGAGAGTGAGTTCATATTTGTGTACTCAATTTTATTTAATATTTATGTAGTTACTTTCATCTTTATGCATCACTAGCGGCGTTGCCCGCGTGTTCCTGTTTTATCCCATGGGAGCATTAAATCGGGATAAAAGTATCCTATCACATAAGTGAGCCCATACCCTGTATACCAAATTTCATCAAAATTGGTTTAGTAGTTTCAGCGTAAATGATGGACAAACATCTAAACAAAGAAACTTTCACATTCATAATATTAGTGTGATTTGTTTTATAAACAACGCACTCTCAGCATGGCTTACTCGTATTTTTTTTATGTCATAAGCCGGTAAACGAGCCGACGAATCACCAGATGGTAAGCAATCGGCGTCGCCCATGGACACCTGGAACATCAGAGGCGTTACAAGTGCGTTACCGGCCTTTTGGGGATTAGGAGTTTGAGGATCATTTGGGGAGATTGGGGAAGGGAAGGGTTATTGGTAATTTGGTCTCCGGTAACCTCACTCACACGACGAAACACAACGCAAACGTTGCTTCACGTCGGTTTTCTGTGAGGTCGTAGTATCACTCCGGTCGAGCCGACCCATTCGTGCCGAAGCATGGCTCTCCCACACTTAAATTTACCTTCAACAGTTTTTTATTGGCAGTCAAAGGCTTAATGGTATTATCTATCCGTTGAAATCTATAACAAATAACGAGGTATCCTATCTCACACTCACAATGCAATCACACAAATGTCATTCACCTTTGAAAACTTTAGCTAGCTGTACTTTTATGAACTCTAGGAATATTCCAAGAGACATCACCCAATAAAACGAAGACATTAACAGGAAACGTGTACGTTCCACATAAAAGTGTACTAAAGTATACGCCTTAAAACGTGAAGAGGTTCGTGATCGTAAAAATATTCGCTCCTTATTTTATTGTATCATTGATCTTCTGGTTAGCTTCAAAGGGCAGGAGTGTGTCATAAAATGGTATATTTCTTAGCATAAAATACTTAGAGTTTGACAAAATAACACGTGTAATCAATTTATAGGATTGAAGACTAGAAAGAAGAAAGAAGAGAAGAAAGAAAAATACATTTTTTTGGCAATTAGCACACAAAACAAAGATAAAATACAAATACATAAACAAAATACTAATAATAAACTTAAAAGAATACAGATCAGAACAAAAAAACATCACAGTGTAAAAAAAGAATAATACGATAATAACAGAATTTTGAATATTATACAAAAAAATCAAATAAATAAAATAATAATATCAATTTGCGCGTGCTCATGCCAAAAAGGCCTCCACCTCAGCTAATAGTTGAGCGTTCCTGCCCAACGCTGATTTTCAGTTGGCACCCTGCACTACACGTTTGGTACGGTGGCTAGGCAACCAGCTACCACGCAACGGGTAGCGGGCTTAATTCTCGCACGGGTCGCGGAGAACCTAACGGGTAACCGGGGCTCCGGCTCGACGTGCAGGAGAAGGAACGGGGTGGTTTTTAGTCAGTAAGAGTCTGACACTAGGCGGGAGCCAGCCATTCGATGATTTTCCCCCCTTAAAAAAAATTCTCGCACGGAGCAACTATTTGCTTGATCCAAAAATTGTAGTTTCGAGTGTAAGTGTCATGTTTACGTGAAATTGTATGTTAGTACTCACAATACGGGAAAAAACTTTTTACGGAGCTACGCTTTCTTTAAAAAAATGTCTTTTGAAGATCAAATTGAATCAAATCACTTTTATTTGTTAACATAGGTGCATATAGATACAGGCCTAATAAATGATAATAAAATAGAGCGCTATGTGCTATGCTCGTAGGTAGGTAGGCGTACAAATTGTAGTGAGAATAATCCGCATTTCATTCTAATGATGATGATGATCAAGACCAGCAGCTGTAGCCAAATGCTATTTAGCGCTTGTCTACATGTAGAATAGAAAACCAAATTATATGAAATTGACGCAAATTTTCAGACTTGTCAGTATCATCCCCATACATTTAGTTTTCTACTCTTTCTGTAGACAAGCGCTAAAGTGGTGTTTGGCTAAAGGCAATGCAATTCAGTGTTCATCCCCCTTTAAAAATATAAAGTATATAAGTGTATTATTATTTGTTCTTGACTACACACTCTTCATCCTTACGTTTTACAGGAAGACGCCTTCAGAAATGCAAAGATCAAAACCCTCTCGCTCCGCGACTGCAGTCTTGCGGAACTGTCTCCAGCTGCCTTCGCTGGTCTGGAGAACAGTCTTCAAAGCCTCGACCTCTCGGAGAACAATCTCACCATGATCTCCAAGTTTATGCTGAACAAGCTGGACTCTTTGAGGTTCCTGAATCTGAGGGAAAATAAGGTTAGTGACAATGTTTCTTGATGGTGTGTTGATATTTTCTGATAGTTACTGTTTTATTTCTTTGAGAGATCCTATACATAAGGATCCAGTAGAATTGCAGACCAGATTAAGGTCTACAATTAGATTTTCTCCTTATCCTGTAAAAATAAGTAATAACATTATTATTATGCTTTGATTTTTATTTCAGTGATACATTAACTACTTTACGTTACTCAATCTTTGACACTTTCATCTTTGAGTGTAATATTCTTTATTACCTCGTTTTTAAAATAGATACCATTTTTTAAAGGTTATATTGTATTATTTCCAGGTTGACATTAATCTTCTGACATCGACACCGACATCGGATTACGCGATGCAGTCGTTCAATAATTTCCAATACAAACTGTTTTACCTGGACATCAGCAGCGCTAGCTCCATTGAAATGAACTTACAGGATTTTAGGAGGTAACTGTAGTTATTTTAAACTTCATCATAACATCACGCCTTTTATCCCCGAAGGAGCAGGCAGAGGTGCACACAGAAGTAACACCCACTTTTCACTATTTATGTTATGAGTCCCATGTAATAGGGGGTGAGCCTATTGCCATATACCGGGCACAATTTCAAACACCGTGCATTTATTTGTTTGCGCTCAGAATTTATTTTAGAAACCCAGGAACATTTTGCCCGACCCCGGTATCGAACCCGAGACCCTTTGCCCGACAGTCGCACTTGCGACCACTCGGCCAACGAGGCAGTTTTGCAATTCACATTTATTGAAATCTCTCTATGAATAAAATACCAGTTTAACATTAGTTTTCATCAGCGTCATGTAAGACTAAAATTAAGAATATTATATACTTACATAGTTTATAGATTTTTTATACCAATTAAGTGGGACAATCTGTGCCAATATTTCACAAGGATTCACAAGAATTCACAATATTCCACAAGGATTCACAAGGATTTCACAAGGATTCTCCATAAGCTATAAACAACATATTTGTTACCTACATTTTTGGCAAATAAATTATTTCTGATTTCTGATATCTAAAATATTAATCTTCCAATTTTCAGAATGAGGTCCCTACGCTACTTATCATTAAGCAAACTACTTAGACAAAGCATTAGGGCAGAGGATTTCCTAGAATTTGGTGTCGAACTAGAAGACCTGAAGATATATGGCAGCACGGTGACGAGAATAGAATCCAGTGCCTTCCAACACGTCAGGACTATCAAAACTCTGGACTTATCGGAAAACAATATCGAGTTCATTGACCCGTTTGCTTTTGCCGAGGTTAGTAGTCGAAATATTTTAATTAATAATTAGATTTTTATGGCATAAGCCGGTAAACGAGCAGAAGGATCAGCTAATGAAATAGCAATAGCAATCGGCGTCGCTCATGGACTCCTGGAAGATAAGAAGCGTTACCAGCTTTTTACGAGTTAGGAAATGTTGAGAGGAAGGAAGAAGGATTGTTGGGGATTCAGGGATAGGGGAGATTGGGGAAGGGGGTAGGGGGGTAATCTCACTCATACTCCGAAACACACCGTAGACATTGTTTCACGTCGATTTTCTGTGAGGCCGTCGTATCACTCCGGTCGAGAAGGCCGAAGCATGGCTTCTCACACCTAAAATGTATAATTATATAATCATCAAAGTTTATTTTTTTATCAGTTTTCGATCTAGTGATTAATAATAGTTTTCTTTTCTGGGTTTGGAAACCACTTGTACAGTAGTACCTAGCCCAAAAACAGCATTTAAACAATGACTATCAATAAATACCTTTGCAAGATATGATAACTAAAGAACTGCTTGAGTTTTTGAATCACAAATCGAATTTCGTAGTAGAATATTAAATGAGGTTACCCTAGTAATAAAAAATTTAAAAATAAATCAAATAAACTAATTATTTGGTAATTTTTTGCAGCTCCACAGTCTAACGACACTGAAAATGGCGAATGGTCTGGCAGACTCAGTAAAACTGTTACCGTTCGAGCCTCTAAAGGCTCTCATAGAACTACAGTACTTGGATCTAAGCAACAACAAGCTGAAGAATGTACCAGATACATCGTTCCACTTCTTGTACAAACTGAAGCGTTTAAATTTACAAGATAACTATATCGAACATTTTTCCAAAGGGACGGTACAGGTAAGTTTTAGAAAATAATAAACAAATACTACATCCTGCCTCGTTGGCCGAGTGGTCGCAATTGCGACTGCCGGGCAAGAGGTTTTCGATTTCCGGGTTGGGCAAACTACTACTGGGTTTTAAAAAAATCTCAGTAGTAGTTCATAGTTTGGAATTGCACCCGGTACATGGCAATTGACTTGCCCTCTATTACATGGGAGTGCCTTCCTGATCTAATTGAGATAAATTATTTTAACTTTGATTTTGAAGAGATATTAAAATATACTCATTTTCAATATATCACCTGCTTTTCATTAGTCATGTTATAAGTCATACGTAAAAGTGAGCCAATTATTATACACCAAGCATAATCGACGGTACTATGTAAATGTATTATCGGATTTTTATTAATCTCAGTAGTAGCACGGAGTCTGGAAATGTGCCTGGTATATGGCAATTGACTTACCCCCTATTACATGGGATTCGTAACATAAATAGTGAAAAGTGGGTGTTACATTGTACAGTGGCATTAAGCACCGTAATGTACACCCACTGCTCTGCAAGACGTTATGTTATGTGTTATGTTTTTATAATAATTATCGTGAGACATACTAAATTAACTAAAAATCGCGGGTTACGCTAGCCAGTAGGCTGAGCGACATCGCCGCGACCGCGCACGCAGCTCATGAGGAAGACCCCTCTGTAGTTCGAAACTAGTAGAGCTTTTCTCAATACATTCACGTGAGTAACCCGCGATTTTTAGTTAAGTTATGTATTATGTGATTTTTCTTCCAGGGTGACATCCATGTACTGTTAGAAAGCATCTGCCTAAACGCAAATCAAATACGACAAATAGTAATGCACGCGTTTGTAGGACTGAAAGAGTTACAAGAAGTATTAATAGAAGACAATCAGATAGAACTCATACAGAAGAGAAGCTTCACTACTCTCGACAATTTGAAGGTCATTAGTCTAAAGGGGAATAGAATCTATGAAATAAGTGAAGAAGCTTTCCAGAACATACCTGCTTTGACTGAGTAAGTAATGTTTACTGAAGTTAAATCAGAGCGTTAAGCACGAATACCTATCACTTTCGTACCGTAATAGTACCGTTCGGCGCTCTGACTGGCCGATCACAGTGAACCAACCAATCAGTGCTGAAGTTGCTTGATAATATTACGTTAGGAATGCGATAGTTATTCGTGCTTGGCACTCTGTAAAGATACACCTAGACTACTTATAATAATTTGTGTGAAATGTATTCTTGTTTCCTCTATATGTGTTTGTGTAACTCCTGTATATTATGCTAGCATCATCATCAACAGCCTATAAATGACCATTGCTGAGCAAAAAGTCTTCTCAGACGGAGAAGGTTTGAGCATTGATCACTACGCTTGCTCAATGCGGGTTGGCGATCACAAACTTATTATTAGAAATTATAAGCCCAGGATTCCTTACGATGTTTTCCTTCACCGTTTGTCAGTGGTGTCTAGATAATCTTAGAAAGTACATATAATTCGGAAAAAGTCACATTGGTACTTGCCGTTGGTGGATTTCGAGCCCGTACCTTCATGGATAAGAAGCGGGCGTCCTAAGCGGTACATCACTATCTTCTATCCATCCGTATCAAAATCTCGAGGTATTGTAGTTAGTTAGTTTTACTCACCGTAAATAATCTTAAAAAGTACATATAACTCGGAAAAAGTCAAATGGTACTTGCCGTTGGTAGATTTCGAACCCGCACCCTCATGCATGAGAAGCGGGCGTCTTAAAACTCCGGGCCACCACGACATTTAACTGCTAACACACTATCAAAATAATGTTTTTTTAATAAAAATGATTTTTTAGAAAATGTAACACATTTTCTAAAAAACCATTTCATCACTCACTCATTGGAGTGACTTGATCTGTTGGTGTCTGTAGTAATGTTAATGTGATTATGCTAGTTTACTTCAATTGCTAAAATTGTATTAGGTAATGCTCATCATAAAGACATAGACTGTAATGTATCATTATCTATTTTTGTCATCTAAGGGTACGTTCACATAGACCGGCTCATAGAGCGTCGGCTCGTTTATTTCTTTTGACATCTAGATCAGATCGTGTATGCTTGCAATTGTCTAGACCGGAGCCTATCTGTGTAACCGGACCCTAATGTTCGATTTCATAAACCTCTCTTAAATAGTAAGGAACTCAAAGCAACAATAGGTCGACATTTTGCTTTTTTACCAATCTTTAAGTGACACCTTGGTACAAGTTTAGCTGATCCTTCACGCTAAGTAATTCTAGTAAATAGAAGAATCAGGGGTGGTGAATAGAAGAATCAGGGGTAGCTGTCCTTGTATGATTTTCACCAAAGCAGAAGAATGAAGAATTACCATCATCTTCTTGAACTGACAACAAAGCCAAGCGAATCAAGAATGTTGTTCAATTGTTCATTCATGATTGGCCTCGCTTGTGTAGTCAATTTCTAAAGCTTCGGGCTGATGGTAGCGATCAAGACCGACAGAATTTCAAAGGGAAGTTTTCAAGAATTGCATTGAGAAAATTATCATATTTATCTTTAGTTTATGATGCTATCCATAACAATTTATTGTGACTTTAGGCTTTTTCTTTGTAGGAAAGTGTGTGATCATTGTGTGTTATTGCTTGTGGTTTCAGGTTCGGGATCTTAGCCCAAAATTTTTCATCTTTAAATTATTTTTTCTTTCACTAAATTGTTAAAAGAATTTTGCAAATAAAAATATTAATCGGCTTCATCTATTCCAGGTTGGACCTATCATTCAATAACCTCGACACGTTCAAATTTTCAATATTTGATCAAGTCGGATCAGCCACTGCTTTGAAAGTCAATGCTTCGTACAATAGAATCGTCACATTGACTGATTCTAATGCTCCAAGCTTCTACACGTCTAACTTCTATCCACCGCCGAAAGCTCAAAGTGAGTATTTATAAAGATACCTGTTACAAATGCTCTAAAATAGCATGCCCAAAGGCCTTCTATTGAGCATGCTCAAAAATGTTTAAAAATCGAACGCCTGCTTGAAATGAGCATGCCAATCCTGAGTAACATTCCGACACTCATGCTACTAAGTGACAAGTGCTCAATAGGGTAGATGACTAGTTTTTATTTTAAGCCTTTGACTGCCGATAAAAAACTGGTGAAGGCAAATCCTCCACTAACGTAGGTCTCCTGTGACCTACGTGGTGGTTAACGTGTTAATGTCCGCCTGGTAGATTATTTAAAATCATTAGACACATATTTTTTATTTTCTTACGCAAAGGAATAGTTTCGAAGATATGTTGATTTGAAATATCGCATGACGTCACTTTTGAGTACAACTGTACAATTTATGGTATAATACTCTAAAATGATGAAGCTACCTCCCACTCCTAAACTTTGATTCGTTTTATCTAAGTATTGTTTTCTTATACGACAAAATAAAAAAATACGTGTCCAATATATTTTCATTACCTACCCGATGTACTGATTGGATTTTTAATTTTCATACCCTGTCATCATCCCTATTGAAGCGTGCTTTCGTGTTTGAAACTAGCATGTGTAACAGTATCTTTATTTTGTTTTTTAATATCAATGTTGTCTTGCATTTCTTCAATATTTGTTTCTTTACTAATTTTATGTCATTAATCTCCTATATCTCTCCTATCTATCATATCATTTTGGATCTCAAGACTTTTCATCAAACATCAGTATGTATGAAAGTATGCTTCTTTCTTATTTGTTCTAGACTAACGTTTATTTATTTAATTTGTTTTGCTTTTAAAGTATTTTATTTGTTTTCTATTAACATATTTGATATTTATGTTTTTTATCTCTTTCTATTCATGCTTCTAATATTTGTTTGCTTTCTTCTCTTCGCTTTTTGCACAGGTTTAATCACCGACACTGAGGAAGATTTTGTACTAACACAAGGTGACATTTATCATGCTTTATTGGAATTTATTATTGATTTGTTATTATTTTTGTATGTATAGATAACAAAAGGAGTTTTTATTTAATAAATAAAATTAATTTTGCAGGTCTCGGAACAGTCTCAGTGAATATCAGAGTGTTGGATTTCTCGCATAACAATATTACGTATATCGCGCCGTATTACTTCAGGTAAGTTCTATTTAAAATGGTTTAATTTCATTTTAACATAAAGATCGACCAAAAATGTCTACTCCATCACCAATCCTCCACCAATCAATAGTCTAAAGCAAAAATCTTGATAAAAACTTTACATGAGGTAGTCACACTAGTGTATGGTCATCTACATTTTGTATTCTTGCTAACGTAAATTACATTTTTTTTCGGCATACTATCATACTTAGCCAAACCAATGAAGATATATTGCGTTTTCTATGATAATCTTTAATATAATATACTTCTAAACATTTCAGGCACGCTGATCTAACATTAACAGAACTGCATCTATCACATAACAAACTCAGAAACATTACTCGAGAAGTGTTCGGATCTATGCATATGTTGCAATACTTGGACCTGTCACATAACTACATTTACCACATGGAATACGATTGTTTCAAGAGAGTCAAGAACTTACAGGTATGTTGGGAAAAATTTTGAACTCCTTAGTAATTCGGCAACGCCCTTGTGATTTTTTTTTTGGGATTAAGGTGTTTATTGGGTAGCGCTGATTGCTTACCATCAGGTGATCTGTCAGCTCGTTTGCCTCTGATTCGATGAAAAAACTATCATAAACGTATTAAAAGATTTCAATGAAAAAAAAAATACAGCTACTTCTACCAATATTGATTATATCATTATTTTATTGCAATAAAAACATGTTTTACATGACCTAATTGCATAAAGTGTAATTCCGTTAAATAAATCCCAACGAAGCCAAATATTGGCTAAAATTCAGCCCTTCAGTAAAAAAAAAATCTGTTCTCATATATTATTTTCCGTTTCAGATAATAAACTTGTCTCACAACCACTTGATCGATCTCCCAGTAGAAATATTCCACGACATGCAAAAGTTAACGTCAGTGGATCTATCGGACAATCATATCAAGAATTTGGCTGATAACCTTATTCCATCACCAGCTTTGGAAAGGTACGTTAAAGTCTATATATCTGAACATAGAATGCTCTAATTTCCTGGATGTTTTAGAAATTAACGCTTTTAATAATCATGCATAACTATTATGATTAGAAATATGAGAGCGTATCCCGTTTTCTTTGACCACGGTTACATTATTCAAGGATTCAGAAGTAATTTGAAATTTTGAATAAATTTCTGATACATAATGTCAGTCCAGCATATGCTTGTGACTACTAAAGTAATGATGAGATTTTTTGCACCAAATGTTAATAAAATCTTCGTTCTTAGGCTAGACTTATCCGACAATGGATTGTCAAGAATCCCAACGAACTGCCTGTCTCCAGCTGCATCAGCTAACTTGGTAGAACTGGATCTAAGTGGTAATACTATACCAGCTGTCGCTTTAGGAGACTTGGTCCAAAGATTCCGGGTGAGTACAATTCCATGTGAATACCTAGAAATAACTCAAAACCCCTTTGCATTTGTTTGAATTTTTGATAACTAACCGCTCGATGACAGTATCAGCATTTGATATGCAATGTATCAAGTTGATTATATATGACTTTTGAACTTGTATACTTGAGTATTTGATTATCTACTAATGCGGAAGTAAGGAGACATGAGCATGTGTTCGAGAAGTTGATATTACTTTTTAGCCCATGTTAGCTTAGATTACTAGGACCTATATAACTGCTATAGTTTACGACGTACCTAATTTGTATGAACTATTTGTTATATGAGTTTATCGGATACTTATAATATGAAGGTTCCTAATTTTTTCCTTCCATATTGTCGTTACAATTCCATATTCTCCTCAACAAACACCGTGCCTTATTTTCCTTCATCCTTTTCTTGTTTGATCCTCCTAATCAGTCCCACCTACCAATCTTCGAAGACTGCATCATCAGTTTAAATCATTTTACATACTATGCTCATGTCTTCACCTTTGTCTAACAGAGTTTTGTCGTAGTTTTTGCCAGTGTGTGAGTAGGTATGCTAATATGTTGTCCTATCATGCATGTGTCGCCAGAGCCCTGATCAGTTGAGCGATTACTGGCCCGAGGAGCCCGACTACAGTGACGAATACATGTACCACACGGCTAGACGAGATCACACCAGAGTGTTCCATCAAAAAAAACAATACCCGCAGAATATTTTGTACAAGGTAGATTGCAAACTAGATCATGCCATTACTAACCTTGTAGACTTTATACTAAGTCACTTTTTGCACCGTACAGCTTATTGTTTTTGATACATTTATATAATGATTTTTGTGTTACAATATGTTTTGCTGTTTTGCTCGTCTACTGTTTCATTTTCAGCGTTACTCGTGTGCATCGATAAACTTGCAGCATGATTTTTTTGTTATTTATTTCATTGACTTTCATATTTAACTTCCAGTTTCAATCCTATGTTTATTATAAATCATTTCTTTACTATTGTTTTGCTGATCATGTGTACAGAATACGACATATTCTAATACATGTCCTTTAAACTTTCAGTCTTTAGCATGGTTGGATTTATCAAACAATCATCTTGTACGAATCGAAGGCGGATCCTTCTCAGCGTTGCCTAAGCTCCGCTGGTTAGATCTCAGTAACAATTCACCTTTCAACTCTGGTGACCGAGGGACAACTATTTTCAAAGGATTAGAAAGAAAATTATCTCATTTGGGACTGAAGAATGTCAGCCTAGTTTCTGTAAGTAAACACGACAATTTGTAAAAATGGATATCTTAACGTCATTTCTATGCTTCAACATTACGAAATAAAAAAGTGATTGGTAATTCTTTTTTAAAAATTCAGTCTTTAAAGTGAAAGGTATTTAAACCCGATTTTCTATCCCTTTTTCAGGTACCTTCAATGTCTCTGAGCAAATTAAAGAGTTTAGACCTATCATTCAACAACCTGCCTTCTATTCCACCTGAAATAACAGCAAACCTCACACGTCTAAGAGCATTAGACTTGTCTTACAATGACCTGACTGTTGTTCCTGTGGTAAGTGTATTCTTTTTTACTGTAAAGGTTTTTTTTTATATTATTTTCTCCATATCTCCAATTGTTTAAAGTCTCAGCTTGTAGGTATAACTATGGAGCTTATTGCTCTTCCTTCTCTATACAAAACTACATTTTGGGACGAGGATCTAGCTTCACTAACGGTGAATTCTGATTTGACGTTTTAAAAGGCCTTGTTTATGTAATACTTAAAAAAAGACTTAACTTTGGGTTTATTCTAATGAGTTAAAGGTGGATACACAATTTCAAATAGAATATCATAAAAAACTTTTAATCATGTTCTTCTTTCAGGCAACGCATTCATTGAGTGACCTTCGCTGGCTGTCTCTTTCTGGCAACCCTATCACTGCCCTGATGAACACCAGTCTGTACGGAGTATCTCCTCGTTTGGAATATCTGGATGTTACCAAATTGAGGTTGAGAATACTCGAGGTTAGTGAAAATTTCATAGTTTTCATTTAAGCTTATTAATATTTTACTAGTGTCTATTGAGGAAGAATTAGAATTAAATAATAACATTTTTAATTACCTTTCTTATGGAATTAGTTAATCTCCAAAAGTTTGTTTGGTTCATCTATGATTAATTAGTAAAATCTGAAATACTTTTTTTGCGAATAAGAGTATCGATAATTACATTTTTTTCTTTCTATTTCCAGCACGGTGTCTTCAGTAAAATGTATGGGCTACGGACACTCAAAATAACAGCTTACTCCAACGTGAGAGAGTTCAATGTACCAAAGATGCTATCATATAACGCCGGTTTGGAGAACTTGATGATTGAAACCGATTATGATTCAGTGGAGTTTGGCAAAGAGATGTATGGGCCACTACCACTCAAGCTTAATAATATTACAATCACTGGACGATATTTGAAATATTTGACGCAATATCTGTTGAGCGTAAGTATTTATGACCACTACTGGCTTTTTCTTCTGATAACTTTAGGAAGTCTGTTTAAATAATTTTGGTTGATTATGATTATCAATATTGTCTCATTTACATTAACTATTGAATGTTAATTCTTGAATCCGACTACTATGTGTTTTTCAATCTCGATTTTTTTATTGTCCACTTCTAAACACAAAGCCTTTCTAATTTTACAGGGTGTCCAGTCTAAAGTACTTCGACTAACAGTCTTCAATACCAGCGTAGAAGAGATAGCAAGCGAAGTGTTCTGGCGACCAGGTCGCGTCACCAACCTGACGCTTGACTTGAGATATAACGACATAGTGAGAGTACCGAACCCTTCTCAAAGGGCATGGCCACATGTCCCCAATACGGTGTTCCTGCAGGACATACTGGTTGCTGGCAATCCTTTGACTTGTGACTGCGGTATCGGGTAAGTTGGCTTTTCTGAATCTGGTTTTACCAAATTGATATTTGATAAAACCAATTTCGTCCCTGTCTCCAATGGTAGAAGATTGCTTTTGATGGAAGCAGCTCTTGGCAGAATTTTATAAATAGTGGTATTAAGTTAAACATTTTTTGAAACCATTACTATCTGAACTGTATATTCCCCAAGGTCATTAAGGGTATTATGACTGCTAAAACAGTTTTAAGTAAGGAAAACCACCAGCAAAACGTACACAAGGATATACCTAAATGGTGTTTTTTCCTGTGGTTTTATTAATGATCTAGTGATATTGATACAATTGACGCTTATAATACAATGTATTATAAGCTCGTAAAAATATGGACTCGTACATATTTACCCAACAAACGGAAGTAAATAATAAAAATTAGATGAACTCGAATTGAAGTTAATAAATAATGTTGCTACTATCTGTTGAACATTGTACTTCCTTATGAACTAAATAGAAATTGGATAAAACTACGATACGACCATCAAACCTTCAAGAAAAGAGCGTATTCCCTTTTTAAAAGGCCGGCAACGCATCTGTGACTCCTCTGGTGTTGCGGGTGTCCATGAGCGGCGCTAATCGCTTACCATCAGGTGATCCGTCAGCTCGTTTGCCTCCTATTCCATAAAAAAACAAGGCATGGCTTGTTTTATTTATGTCTTTTATTCGTACCAAATCATTAGGTCAAAAGTTTCTATCGAGTAGCAAAACATACAAGCGAATGAACTTCTTTAATACTAAATGATCGTCTCGTTACAGATGGATAAAAGCATGGGACCGAAAAAGAAGACAGTACCTTTGCGACAGCCCATCTAATTGCGTGTCAACTCGTGACGATGTCAGATTCGCAACGTGCCCAGCATACGACAACAGAACATTTGCTGACGTGAGTTGGTCTCCATATTATTAACGATCGTCCCTCAATTATCCTTTTATGATATACCAAAACTTAGCAGAAAATGTGATTCTTCTTATGACTTAATTTCTTACTTTCAGGTTTTATCAAGAGATCTGGATTGTGAATGGAACAAAGGCTTCATAGGATCCCCCAACTTCTTCATAGTGTTAGGTCTGTCTATCCTAACGTGCCTCTACATATGAGGACTGTTCTGGCTACTTGGGGTATACGAGGAATTCAACTTGATTTTGGCAAGGGTGTATAATTCTAACTCTTAAAGGCCTCACTTAAGCCGTACTTTATTGATTTAATAGATACAATACCACTTTTGTACAGAATAAAATTCTGACGCTTATCAATTTTTCGATACTTTGGAACATAGAACTAGATAGTATTTAAAACGAAGAAGATTTTTACAGCTTCTTTAAAATATTATGTAAATAAAATCAAATGCAATCGTTAAGGGTTGTAGGAATCTTCTTCGCTCAGACGAAATCCAGCAAGGAGTGAGATAGCATTGAAATGTTTTTCATACTGTACCTGTTCTTGTGGCCTACATACTGAGTCTTGGTCTGGGAGATCCTGAATAGCCAAATCCTAGTTAGTGTTAGTGAAACGGAAGTATATGCTTTAAGACTTGAAGTCAGGACGTTGACGCATTGACGGAGGACAAGTGACTTTTGTATACTTAAGTGATTGCGATAACTCTAGTGAAGCCTACTAAAATGTGATTTATCGTTTAAAAAAAGGAAAGCAGTTGTGTGATCTCAGAAGAATCGTTGGACAAGTTACCGTAACTTCATATTTCTTAGTAAATTACAGTTTGCGTTCCCCCCTCCCAAAACCCTGTTTTGCGTGTGTAGTTTTAAGAAATTTTAATTTGAACATTTCACGCATTTCGTGCACTGCCTTACATAACGAATTTTCTGTGATTATTGTCCAGAATCTATGTCCAACTTGTATGGTGCGTTTGATCTTACACGATATTGTTAAGAACCGCGTGTGGAAGTGCACTTAATGTGTTTTAGAAGTTGCATTTACGTCGTTTTATAAGATAAGTTCACACGAAAGCAATGACTTAATTATGATCGTCTAAGTAGACTGCATTCGCTCGAATGGTATATGTGTTCGTCCATTATTAAGAGTAAAAATATTATTTATAGATGTATTCATTTTTGTAATAGGTGACTTTAGGTGTAGACTAATCGAATCATTTATAAACATTTCCTTATATTCAATATCTTTAACATTTTCTTCATTGTCATTTATTTCATAGTACGTAGTTGTTTTAGGATCGTTGTTACGACGATCTTGATTCTAAACAAATGTTTGTACAAAGTCTCTAACTCATTCGTCGTAAAGTCTATATTCAGAGTCACTATCTTCAATAAGAAAGCTTAATCCTATTCTATTTACTCTTTAATATTTTCATTGTTTAGCTGTTTACAAAGTCTATCTGGTTATTGTTGTATAAACATATTTTATTACATATTACGTATAAATAAATGTGTCATTAGCTGTTATTGTATCGGAGCATGCTGTAATATATACATTGTACGTATATACTAGGATTTTATCGACTGAATTTAAGTGTTTCGGAGCTATATCGCTGGTTATTGTATAAGAAGTGTTGTTTGTATAATGTCCAATGTGGCTTCTTTTTATTGTTGCGTCGCTTCACTGTTTTCTGTCACAGTTTTATTAATTTTTCTATTGATCTTTTAGACGGGCACGCTAGCAATAGTTTAGTCGGTTGAGAGTTGCATGTTTCTAGCTTTCTTATCTATTTCTATAACTGAGTGAGTTCAATTGAATACCTCTTCTTCAGTGGTCCAGTGTGTGCTGTCAGGCCTATTGTTGACTTTTGTTTTCAATGCCATTTCACGATGCACTTGATTATTTTATACCACTTCAGTGAATCGTACACAAGAATGTTTTAGTGACACAACGTTGGCGTTAGGTTTGGTATTGAAAACAAAGGAATATCGTTGTAACAATGAATATATTTTGTGATATATATTACTCTAATCCTTCTATTTTTGATAAAGCCTACAATGAATATTGCTACAAAACGGGAATTGTATAGCTGAATAAAATTGACATTATTAATAAAAATATTTCAGCTTCTGTATACATTAGATCCGATTGTCAATTGTTGAATTATATTAAATCATTTTCTTCGATGGTACTAAATGGTATGATTGTATTTTATTCTAATAATAAATAGCTTGCTTGAATTTTATGAAAATTGTATTTAAATAGCCCTGCATCACAATTTCTGACCTATGGTAGCTGAAAGCATTTTTGTAAGGTCGTTGAAATACAAACAGATTATCAATATATATTTCCTAAAGATTTTAAAATACTCTTAATTACTTTATCTGCAATGAGAATTTTTCATCGGCTTGTATTATTACTTCGTTGCTCACTAGTGCCATCTACATTTTATGTAGCAAACCTCGATTATGACGAGAACTTACAAATTAATTCTTCTGCAAGGTCCATTGTGATAGTAATAGCTAGTGCCAATACATACAGAAGTAAATAACGTTATTATAAACAACAACTTGTTTATTATTATTATGTAAATTTTATTTTGCGATTGGAAATACGACCATTGAGTAATATAAATAAGTATCAAAATATCTTTAACTTTTATTTAGAAAAATATTGACAATTGCTATGCGGCATTGAGTTCGTGTTTATGTTTTATTATTTTCATTTGTTTAAATTAAATAAATCATACTACAAGTATGAATAATAAAGAGTTTATTTTAATGTAAAATAAACTTTAAATTAATATGGTTAAGGGTGTGTTACAGTTAAGTAAAGTTCGAACAAATAAAATTGTGTGAAATCTAATCACTTTATGTAAGTACGTAATGATATGAGCCTTAAAATAATATCAGCCAGTATTATTATGATTTCTATGGCAATACAAATAAAGTTTAAATTAATATATCAACAATTTTTATTTAATTTTAAGATTTAACAAAACCAAAAGGTCCAATCGTAAAATGAAAGTTTATTAAAGAAAGCTTTATTACGTTCACAATATGGTTTTAAATTGAATCGCTGTAAATATGTTTTATGATATTTCTTTGTAATAGAATGTTAAGGAGAATAACTAAACGTCGCTAATTCAGTGAGTTTGAATGTTATTTTCAAAGGATAGAGGACGAGGGAATGTTTTTGTCTTCACTACTTAAAAGAATAGTGTGAAATAAAAATAAGTAATCATTGAATTATTAGCGTATTAAAATAAATTATTGCGTAAATATTATTTGTCGTTTGATTTTTCCCAAGTCGTACTTTTTTATGATAATATAAACCGGTAAACAAGCAGACTTTTCACCAGGGTGCTTACTCTTAAAACCAATCTCAATGTCAATGCAATTCCAATCCAATAAAAACCTCAATAATTATTCAATAATTATTTATGTCAAAACTATAACCCTTATCGTAGCTGTTAAAATAGCATTCAGAGTGCGAACATAAAGCCAAACTCAATATCATTAAGTTCATTAAATATCCACGCAATACGGATGCAATGGGCGCTAGTGTTGCAACTCAAGAGTAGGTAGGATATTTTACAAAAACGATGTCGATCGTTGGGAATTGGATTCAAGAGTAAGCACCTTGATGGTAAGCTATCGGCGCCACCCGTGGACACTCGAAACAAGTGCGTTACCGGCCTTTTGGGGATTGGGAATTTGATGATTATTAGGAATTTAAGGATTAGGGAGATTAGATTAGAGATTAGGTAATTGGGCTTTCTGTAACCTCACTCACACGACGAAACACAGCGCAAGTATTGTTTCATGTCGATTTTCTATGAGGCCGTGGCCGGTCGAGCCGGTCCATTCCTGTCGAAACATGGCTCTCCAACACTTGAAAAACAAATGCTTATTATGTAGGTATATTTGAATATACTTACATATTATTATACTACAACTGACCCGAAGTAACCCAAATTACAGGTCTTGGGTTCGATTCCAGGGCGATGCTTTTACAAACATAGCTTGGTTACACACACAGACACCATATATGGTGTTTCATATATGTTACGTATCGGTGCCGACACATGTACCTACACCGTGATCAACGCCGTGCCACGAGGAGCATATCTGCTGAATCAGGACGTTAGACCAACTTTGATGCAACGAAGTATTGCAACACCTAAACTGCTGAGTCGTCTCCTCATGTCACCGCCCCGTGCCCAGCTGCGAATCGCTGCATCATCAATCGGCCCACTAAATTTAACCTCAATAGGTTTTATTGGAAACCTTCTTTCGAAATAATTTTAAGAGAAGAAGTCAGTGTCGTTCTAATATCGAACGCATTCGCTCGTAGGTTAGTTAGACTTTAGGAATTATCATGTAATTTTAATTATAATAAATTTAGTAAAATGATCATAGTTTCCATTTGCACCCTCTGTCGCTGGCAGAAACATAACTTATAGTAGTAAATAAAAGAAAGATATGTTCCATGTCTGTTGACATAGCGATACGCAGGTCTATAATTATTATTCCGTATGTATACGACTGCCTCGTTGCCCGAGTGTTTATTAATGTGACTGCCGGGCAAGGGGTCTCGGGTTCGATTCCCGGGTCGAGCAAAGTATTATTGCTTTTTTTAATTCTCAGTAGTAGCACGGAGTCTAGAATTGTGTTCGGTATATGGCATTAGGCTCACACCTATGACATGTGATAAGACTCATAACATAATTAGTGAAAAGTGGGTGTTACATTGTTGGTGTTACATTGGCATTAAGTGCCGTAGTATGCACCTCTGCCTACCCTTCCGGGAATAAAAGGCGTAAAGTTATGTTATGAATTGTATGTAAATACAAGTTAAACAACCAATTCCCGAGAACAGCGCATTCAACCAAACAAAACAAACAAACTGTTCAAGGAACCATCTAAGTATAGATAATCCTAACATAACAAAGGTCGAAATACGAAAGGTCGCGCTCTAGATGTCAAGCCATTTGTGGTAATCGTCTACAATGTTGATAATTGAATCGCGCTCCCTACAGCGAACAAAATTAGATGAAACACGAACAGCATAACGAATCAAATATACTTGATGTATCTTCTTATATTTGTTGACGGACGAGCTTCTACCAAGCTGTAGGTACCTATGTGTTCATGCTAATAAGACGACCAGTATTTCTCAATTTTCAGTTTTGTCTTCCAAGCACCCACTGCTGAACTCCAAATTCTATTATACATAATTACATTCATAGGTACATCAACAGTCTATAAGTGTGCCCACTGCTGAGCAAAGCTTCTTCTCACACGGAGAAGGTTTGAGCATTAATCACCACGCTTTCTCATTGCGATGTTTTCGACTCACGATGTTTTCCTTCACCGTGTTATCAGTGGTGTCTAAATAATCTTAGAAAGTAGGTACATATAACTCGAAAAAAGTCACATTGGTACTTGCCGTTGGTAGGTTTCGAATCCAACCCTCATGCATGAGAAGCAGACGTCTTAATCCGGGCCATCACTAATACTCTAAATTAATAAGTACCAAATACTCCTAAGGAGATTTTTGCGGGAACCTAATTACAAATTCATCTATGGAAGTTCTCTTCGAGGTTAAATAATGATTGATTACCTATACGCTTACTATTTCCTATCTATTTACCTAATTATAGGATCTAGTCTCGACAAAACAATCTCGCGAGCAGTTTGGGAATCACACATTCTTTATTGTTTACCTTCTTCGTGATATTCAACATATCTACAACCACTGCTCTCTATCACATTTGGTAGGCTTTTTTTTAATGGGGGAAAATCATCGAATGACTGCTTCCGCCTGGGTGAGGCGGGAGGGACTGTCTTACTGACTAAAAACTACCTCGTTCCTTCTCCTGCACGTCGAGCCGGAGACCCGGTTACCCGTTAGGTTCTCCGCGACACGTTTGGTAGGCTACCATCATAGCTTGGGCTCAAAAAAATCATTACTTCACTAGAAATGATCGGGAGGCTCTTAAAAGGTAAAGATATCCATCTCCATATTAATAGTAGGTATGTCCATTTCAATGCATTCCTATTCTAAGGTATAAATACCTGATGGATTGTGAATTTGTGATTGATATTTGATTCAGTGGCTTGGACATCCGTCGGTCATAGTATTTGGTTCGGAGTAGGTAGGTAAGAAAACGTTTTTCAGTTCCCGGGTCAGATTAAAGATGATTTTGGTTTCGAAAAATTCTGAAACCATTCCCAATGTAGAATAACTAATAGGCTGACATGCAAATTCAAATTGCATTTCTTTTTTGACAATTCCGACGTTTCAGAAGCGTCTAATTTATAGATTACGTAATTGAAATAAATGATTTGACTTTGACTCCTAATGCTCCACCACAAGAGACGTGAAAAGAATAACGATAGAGTTTCTTGATCGATGTTTTCCATTCAAAACTATGCTTTGACGAGCGCATAGCTTCACTGACAATTCGACGTTTCAAAAGCGTCTAAAGGAGGCCATACACGCTAGGTAATGCATGATGGTTATAACTGTGCATGCAAAACCGACAAGCATAACCGAGCACCGATGCACCGATAACTGTACAGTTTAATCATATACACCCTAGGGCTTGCCTGTCGGTTATGCATGCACGGGTAAAGCCATCATGAACCTAGCGTGTATGGCCTCCTTAAGAAATAAATGCATTGACTTTGACTCATAAGTTATGAATTATATCATGACTAATAACAAAACTAGTGAAAGCAGTTATTAACAGTTACACAGTTAAATAACGTTAGATTCCCATAGCCATAACAAGATTTTTCGACGTCTGCGAACGATGGACAAAAAAATACCAACAGAAAACCTCATTAATTCCTACATGGACGAAATATCAACAACAGTAATAGAGGTCCGGATATTGTATCGACTATTATCTTTCCACTCCAGAAACTATTACATAGAAATATAGACAGTAGATTGCAGAAATAGCTGGACAAATCCTGTAAATATTTATTCCATGTACCAATGTTTACTCACTTGATTTGTATTTGTTTTCTCATATTTACTCTTAGGGCTGTGGAAAAAGGATTGAAAATACGGTTTGTGAAATGTTTAAATATTGTGCTACTGTTTTCAAAAGTCAGTTTTATATTAGATAATATATTTGAAATAATAGTAACCTTCTAAAGATATAATATTGACAATTATATCCTAAAAAGAAGACCGCATGATTTTAATTTAAATAAAACTACAATTAAACATTAACTAACATTGTTTATAAAAAAAACTATTCAACTAAACACAAAACTGTACTTGAACAAATTATCCTTTTACACTATATAATATCCTTTCTCCTGGAGCGACGTAAAGAACAAATCCAATCGTGGAAGGACCAGCGTCGTACCACAACGCACATTGTATTGCCAACGAGATACCAATCGTGAACTTGGATATTTGGATAGCAACCAAAGGGGATTTTTCATCTTTGCGTAGAGGAAAAACGTTTGCATCAATGCCAGGGGGATCCGGGTAGTACTTTATCTTCCCAATATGTTCCTTGTCATAAGAGTGGTAGCCTTCACATCGCAACCACAACTTCGTCCTATCTGCCTTCATCCAAGTTTGGACGTCTGCCGGGGCACTTTTAGCAATCGTAGAGTTGAATTGCAGAGGGTGAGCTGCCCAGTTCAAACGCTTATTTACTCTTATTATAACACATGGCTCTTCTCCATACCCGTAAGGAGATTCTCCACATGGTCCTAAATTACCTATTTCTCTCTTTTTCCTGTTTTTTGAGAGAAGCTTGTCAAGTGCGTCAACATACTTCTTGTAGTCATCCTTTTCTCCATTTTTGTACCAAATCAATGGTGAATTGTGTTCGGATAATGGAGCTGCTGTGAGCCCAATTGGGTATGAGAATGCCGAATCAAGTGCTGAAACTTTGTCAATATTTTTGAAGTCAATTAAAATTTTAAGTATTTCTAAAGAACTATAGAGGATTACGAGTGTAAAGGTCATGAGAAATAGCAGGTACATGATGGAATATGCGATGATGCAGACCCAGCTCTTGCAGGTTCTTCCAAGAATTTGTCCTGTTTGCTTGTTGTATATGAATCGTTTAAGCTTTGTCTTGAATGGTTCGTCATTGAGATTGCTGTATTGTTCAGCGGATACTGCTGCTGGGGACGGTTGTGTGATGGTAGTACCAAGCGAAGGCAGTGTCTTAGGAACATTGTGCGTCATCTTTATTAATGCATTATACTCAACATTACAGATAAAAAGTGATCACAATGAAAGCTATCAAACCAAATTGATTGACAGCAATGATGCTACATTCAGCGTGGTTACGATTTATATAAGAAGGTTTTACACTGAGGTTTTACAGCATTAATTTTAAGAAAACCATCAACGCCATCTACGGCCCAAAGCAGGAAAAAAATAGTGCAGTAAGAAAGAGCATATTATTGTGCTAAAAGCGGCTGAGCACCTACCCTTAAAACAAAAATATGTTAAGGTCATATACATACAACTAAGATGCGATTTATATTAAGGAAATAAACAAAATGAAGTACAGACATTATTTATTTGTTTGACAAATACTGTTTCTTAGGAAACACGAAAAGGTTTTGCAAGTGACAGGGCACTCGGGCGGACATACAACCTATTTCCTTGTGTCATATTGCATTACTTGGATAAGAGAAATAATATTTTTCTTGAACGAAACGTCGTCAAACTTGGTCGTCTCAAATGGCCTGAAAATATAAGCAAAGATAAACAAACATAAATTTTTCTCACACATTTTAGTTTTTCTCATGCGCGGCTTAACAAAATTTCTAACTTCAATGTTAATATCTAAGTTATTAGCAAAACTAGAACATGACATAAAACCTCATACTTTTTAATGAAATATTTTCTATTACAATTATTTTTTTTTATGGCATAAGCCGGTAAACGTGCATACGGAACGTGCATACCTGGTGGTTAGCAATCGACGTCGCCCATGGACACCTGGAACACCAGAGGCGTTACAAGTGCGTTACCGGCTTTTTGGGGATTAGGAGTTTGAGGATCGTTGGGGATTCAGGGATTGGGGAGATTGGGGAAGGGGAGGGTAATTGGGCCTCCGGTAACCTCACACACACGACTAAACACAACGCAAGCGTTGCTTTACGTCAGTTTTCTATGAGGCCGTGGTATCACTCCGGTTGAGCCGGCCCATTCGTGCCGAAGCATGGCTCTCCCACACTTTTATTATTATATAGGTGATATAGATATAAATTAAAAATCTTTTAGGGTATCTGTCAGTCTGTAGGTTTAAAACTATGGTAGAACGTAAACCATGAGTAATTACACGTTTCTTATAAATATGCTTAATTGAATTACTTGATATATCGTACCTACCGAGAATTTCCAATATTTGTTCATACAAAAGTAGTCTCTAGACATCGGAAATGTCGTGGAAAACCTAACGGGTAACCGGGGCTCCGGCTAGACGTGCAGGAAAAGGAACGGGGTGGTTTTTAGTCAGTAAGAGTCTGATACTCCCTCCCGCCTCACCCAGGCGGGAGCAGTCATTCGATGATTTTCCCCCCTTAAAAAAAGACATCGGAAATAAGTTCTATAGTAGAGTTAATGGAGAGCAGTCAATGGTGACCACTTCAGGATTGATCAGCGTTACACGTTGTTTTACTTAATAAGCTATACATAGGTACTTAATAGCGAAAAGTTAAAAACACATTCTTCACATGAAATACTAGCATTATAGTATCTTCATACAACAATCTCGAAACGAACTGATAAAGAAAATACGTTATATCATTAACGTCTATTCACTGTTAATTGCCATCATTATTGTGGGAGAGATATTCGTATTTCTTTGCCAAAAGCAATAAAAATTTGGTCCAGTCACAATGATCCCTCACTAGATGGGCGGTTCTTAGAAACTTAGTTATTGATTCGTTGGTCAGTACCTATGTTGGCACAAAAACCAGTTTTTTTATGAGAAAAGTTTTTCGCTGACTTATGTGATGATTTTCGCTGAGTTTTTCTTTTGTTGAAGGTGGTAACGAGTGTTAGAGTTCGAAATTAGGGTGCAATAACTGTCGAAATAAATATATATATTATAGGTACCTACTAGCACCTTTCACGTTTTCACTCACTGTGCTCGGTGCCTATTGATCGTGGTGTAATGCTTTATGGCTTATAGCCTTCTCCAATGAATAAAGTATCCAACTTCAAATCGGATTTCAAATTGTTACTGAGATTAGCAGTTTCAAACAGACAAACAAACTCGTTAGTTTTGTATAACAATATATAAGATATAAGATGATAGACCTACACTCGCCTGTGACCACCATGTGAGGTCTATTTTACTTAGGAATATTTATGTATCAGTGTCCATTTTACATATTTGCAGGAAGATTATTTATTATTATTATTTGTTAAAATGTGTAAAGTTATTCTTTATTATGGACTGGTCACGTCTTTTACTCGTGGGAAGCGAGCAAATGGCTTCACTAGAGGACTAACCGATCACTTTGAAAAGATAATAAAATATACTCACTTGTAATGTAGCACCACAGAACATATAAATAAGGTGTACTATAGCACCAACTTTTCATTAATAGCTGACCACTTACTACCACTACTAGCAGACTTCGTACCGACTAAAAAAGTTTTTCTCACCTTCTAAACATTTATACCTTTTTTTTATTACCATTTATTTCAATCAATTACATAGATCATTAATTACACATTACAAACCATAATACAATATAAAAGTCACAGTCACATATCAAAAATCACAATCACAAGTCAGTCATCACTAAAATAATCTCCCAACTCAAAACAATAATTTCACATTAGCCAGTACATGAACCATACAACAGTGGTTCATGTACTGACAGTCAAAACGTTCAGCAAAGGCGCTCAGGATACTATTGCGGCTGCCCCGCACCCTGTTCACTAATGACGTGCACCGCTTGCGCATGATTGTGTTGAAGCAGTCTACCCGTGCGCTGGCAAACATACCCGATGCGCTACAAAAGCGAGGCAGCCCCAAGAGCATCCTGAACGCGTTATTGTATTGAACACGCAGAGCGCTGTACTGTTTCTGCGTATAACTCAACCACAAAGCCCCCGTATAGAAAGACGTACAAAATGCTCTAAACAAGGTTATCTTGACATTCTCCGAACATCTTGCAAATCTACGGGCTATCATATTCGCACGAACAGACAGCGCCCTACGCTCCCGCTCAATATCAGCATCGTCTTCCAGGTCTGAGGTCAGAATATGTCCAAGATATTTAAAAGTATCTACTCTCTTGAGAGGGTGTCCATTTAGAATTATTTTTGGTATCTGAGCCGGACATCTCTTCTTGGCCCGAAAGACCATGCACTCGCTTTTCTTCGTGTTGTAAACTAAACCATGCTTTTCAGCATACTGCTGACAAATGCCAATCATCCTCGACAACCCGCAAACAGAGGCGCTCAGCAGCACCATATCGTCAGCATAGCTGATATTGTTTATGCACACCCCTCCGACATGACAACCTACATGCGTTCTGCTGAGCTCCTCTATCAGCGCATTCACATACAGGTTAAAGAGCCTCGGAGAGGTCAGTCCTCCCTGCCTAACGCCACACTCCAACCTGTACGGAGCCGAGTACGCCCCCGACCACCGAACAACATTAACTTGGTTGTTGTACCAGTACCGAAAAATCCGAATAATTCCGTCCGGCACTGAAACCTGCTGCATTTTATGCCACAGCAGATCATATGATACCAGATCGAATGCCTTCGATAGATCCAGAAAGCAGGCAAAGACAGGCGTACTTCTATCAGTATAATACTTCACAGTTTGCTTTAGACACAGTATCGCAGCCTCCGTGGACAGACCGGATTTGAAACCAAACTGATTGTCGTGTAAATGGATGAAATTGTCCAGCTGAGTGTCAAGCAAACCGTCAAGCACCTTCGAGATAATAGTAGCCAATGAAACCGGTCTGTAATTATTCTTATCACTAATGTCCCCGGTTTTATTTTTGACAATTGGCACCACTACAGTCTTCATCATTTGCTTTGGCATAAATGAATGTCCCATACAAAAGGAGTATAACATTGCCAACACCCTAGGCAAATGACGACCCGCATGTTTCAGATGCTCGATACTTAGATTATCGTGGCCGGGAGACTTACCCCTTGACATGGACATAATAACTTGCCTTATCTCTCTGGCTCTAAAGCGGATACATGTCTGTCGACCAGTCCAGTCCACATCACACGCAGACTGCGATGGCCCCAACGGAGACGTTACGACAAAGTGTTGCCTAAACAGCTCAGCAATACCAGTGACGTCAGCAACGCCACTGACGCTCACGGGCAGGCTCTGCCCACCATTGAGTTTATTAGTGGACTTCCAAAAATTGCGGAAATCGCCCCGTGAATGGTGTGACGCCAACATGTCCATTTTAATTTGTTCAGTATTATTCTGGCACCAACGTAGGCGCGACTTAAAAATCCTTCGGCTTTCTTGCATTTCATCCCAAATGCGCCCCTCTCTCGGTTTACCAAAACACACCCACTGTTCAAATTTCAGCCTTGCCTGCCTGTGAGCATCACCGACGTGCTTATTCCACCCCACTACCGGCTTTCTATTACGCACATGATTTAATTCACAACACTCAGAAGCCGCCCGACATAAAACACCAACAATATCATCATACAATTTCTCAATAACAATTCTGTGGTTCAAATCATTACATACATTGTCACAACATGTTGTCAGTTCACTAGGGAAGTCAATATGTTTTAAATAGTCATTGCATAATTTTGTATAATTATTAATTTGTGAAATATTTCTGTTATTCCACTTTATTTTATTACTTAACAAGATATTACTGTTTGGTGAGTCATATAATTTTGGTTTAATGTCATCTAAATTACACTGTATTACAAGAGGAAAGTGATCAGACCAAAGAACATCATATATAACATATACATTCGTAACAATAGACATAGCTGCCCTTGTTGTCACACAGTGATCCAGCCATCGTCTCGAACCGTTGGCCTCGCTTATAAACGTATACGTATCAGAATCTACTCCCAAAAGTTCTACATCAGCACAGAATAGCTCGGATTCAAGAGCAAAAGAAGTCAGTTCATTGTAGAATTGCTCTTGCGGGTGCGCATTAAAATCTCCGAGGACAAAAGCGGTTTCAATATTGCTATTATTAATTATAGCACTCACCAAGCTGAGGCAATCCGTGAACTCCACGACGTTTGCACTATTATCC